TTAATAAGATGATAATGCTGTTTTTATAATTTTATTCTTTATTTTAAACCTAATTAGCTTCACTAAAGTAAACAAATTGTTACTATTTCGTGCATCACCGGAATCATGGAAACGAGCGCTTTTCTCTCAAAACAGTGTTGCAGTGCAAAAGTGATACTAGGATGCATTTGGTAATTGAAACTTTAACAGCAGCAGTAGAGGAAAGTCACAAAATATGGAATACCATTTTGTTTAGGGATATAAAAAAGGCTTTATAGAAATGAAAACAATTTACTGTTATTACTAATCGGTCATAAATTCATATTTAACAACTAACAGCCTCCTATCAAATATATTGATTATCAAAATAAAATGGAACACAAAAAACAAAAGCAGAAATGAGTAACCACATATAGAATAGGTACCCATATATGGAATATAAGCATAAGTCGTCATATCAATAACAAAAATAAACATAAACATCTATGAGATCAAGTAAACCTAAATAAACAAATGGTGATAAGTGAAGGAAGTTGCTTAATTCACTTGCAAAAGTCACAGATCCAAGTATCAAACTCTGGACCAGCACAATCATAATGTGCCCAGAGCCCACACATTATGCACTTAATCCAGCCTTCTCCACTATTATCCATGGAAAAAAGGCTTTGGCAAAACATACACTCCGCATCAGCAGAGTCAGGAGATACTTGGCCTATCAACTCATCAGGTTCACTGTCTGGATAACGTCCTCTTCGTCAGAGTCTTCTTCTTCCCGATCAGTCTTATTTTTCTTTATTCATTTGTTTCTCTTCTCAGTTTTCTTCTTGTTCTTTGTCTTTGCCAATTTACTTTCCTTTTCTTGTCTCTTGATATTTGTATTTACTAAATCATTCTTATAGGGTGCAGATGTTATGAGTGTTGGTTTTACGCTTCTTGGTCGATTGTGAAGCGGACATTCTAAAAACAAACGCAGCATATAATTTTTGAAAGAAACAGTAACAAGTATCTGTCATGTGAAATAGGGGACTTAATTATGGATTATTCCGTAATTAGGTACCAACGACTGCCCATATTTGGATTTTCATACTAGTACAAACTCGTATCAATAGTTTTCAAGTCACAACATTTTAATTACAGGAGGTCAAAAAAAGTTGAAATAAGCACAATATAGATATACTCAATAGTATAACAACACGTATGTTTTATACATACATAATAACTGATAATACTCATTTATTACATACCTTTAAAATTTTCTGCGGGACGACAAAACAAAACACGCCTTCCACACGTATAGCGTTCGGGCAAATGACAAGATGGTGTTAGTGCTATAAGAAAGACAGCGATTGGCATGGTTGTGTGTTACATTTCGAACTTATAGGGTACTATTCCATATTTGGTATATTTTGTGCCTTCCTCTATCATATGAATGCGTAGAAATAAAATATTTTATTTCATTACTACCTTTTCTTTCATTAGTTCTTTAAACTGAGTATCCTGACAGAATCTTTTCTAAATTAAAACCAGCAATCCCTACAGCTAGATTTCCAAAGGTAGTTTCTAATTTTCTATTTTTTTTACCTAATATACAGGAGTCATCGATTGAACTGTTGAATATTTGGCGATTTTCGCAAAGAAGATAATACTCGTATAGGCATCAGGTGTGTTGTTACAGTTTCTTTTTATGGGCGACCAAACCATAACTACTATCTTGATAAAGTAAATTATTGCAACGTTTTTCTTATTTAGGATAATTTTATAGCCGTTCTTAAAAACATCGAATTTCATTTTTATAACAAAACACTCCTCTCAGTCTAATAATTTTGTGGTAGAAATTCGTACTCTCCATCTCGTTAGAGGTAATTTTTTATAATTTATGTCGACCATAAATACAAGAGCTGGGGCTTGATTCTAAATGAGTTTCGACCGTTGAAATTGATTTCGATGGCGCCTTGGGTCGATACACTTGATTCGCTATAATAATTTTGACATCTGATTATATTGATCTTCTATATACAAATTATCATGGCAGTGTCAAAATTATCATAGCTAATCAAGTATATTTTTCAAGACGCCATCGAAATCAATTTCAACGGTCGAAGCTCATTTAGAATCAAGCCCCTGAAGATGACTTGGTGCTATGTCCGGTGCTCTGGTGAAGGAATTCTGCGGCCCACCACCAGATTTTGTGATAGATTCACACGCAGAGGTGCGGATTTATAGGGTGGCGTTTTTTTTTTAATTAGCGGTTTTTCTTGTCGGAGCCTTTTTCTCACCCTCTTGGCGATCTAGCCGTGGAGATAACTACACTCAACCATCGAGCTGAGGGGAACCGCCTGCAGGGATAGTCCGAGGCGAATTTGAGTGGGACTCATGCTTGGGAGCAGCAGTTCCCCATTTTTTGTGAACCCTGATTGTTCGAGAGTTTTACCATCCGGTTTTACCTTCCGGTTCTACCTTTGGCTTCAACCTTCGGGTATAGAGTAACATCTGGGACTTCCAGCCCTCAGTTACCTTTCGGTGGTAGCCAAGCACCTGCATAGATATTTCTTCTTTTTTATTTTAGTTTTATTGGTAACCATTTATCTAGGGGGGTAATACCAAATAATTTTCTTAGCCTGTCCTCCAGGACTTCTCTTTACTTTTTTTATTTTTTTCGTTCAATAAATGTCTGTGTACCTTGTGAGTTTGTATCTCCTTCAGCGCCAAAATCGCAACAGTGGTTCCTCGATTAATTTTACATTTTGTAGCTTTTTCGTTTTTCGGTTACATGATATGTTTATCACGTAAATTCATATCATTAGTTTCGGTCGGAATGTCTGTCTGTAGTCTGTTCTAATTTTGGAGTTTTGATAAGAAGTTAATCCCATACTAAGGTTTTGGAAATCGATCTAGGCGGTTATAGGCGAGAAACTAAACATTTCAGAATTTTCCCAAAGTTTCCTGATGTTTTTCGAGTTTTCGATCCTTTTTGGCCGGAGTTACAAAACTTTTCAGACTAGCAGAAAATCGCGAACGTCTGACTGCCAGCGTCAGGGACACCTAGTATATCACTGAAAGAAGAAAACATTTCTTATAGTGAAACGAATTTAAAAAACTCCGGAACGTCGTTTTCAGACACGTTTCAACTTGTAGTCACTATAGGGCGTGCTCAATAAATCTCTCGAGTAGTTCATTTATTTTTTGAAATCATTGATCTCGTATTTATCATTAATAACGTTATAATGTATAAAAATAATATAGATATATTTTTTTATACTCTAGCTACCACGAAGGCCTTAAGCCTAAACACCCATGGGGTACCGTGGGGCTATAGGGGGATACAGGGGAAAGCGGGGGACGCCACACGGACTCTAGCGAGGGAACACGTGTGCATGCAGCATGCTCACATTCTGGCCTCGCCTACGAGATGCGCCCGGTGGTACCTCCGCGAACGACAGTCAGAGACCGTCTATCACTTACGGACAATCACAAATACCATAGTCAAGAGAAACATTCTCTTGGGACGGGACGCGCAGAGCATGACGACTGATTCGCGTTAATAGATTTATATACTAAGTGACATATAAATCCGAGCACCCAGTTTAAATGGTTTTATTTTAATAAAATTTTGTATAAGTACTTAATGAAGCATAATAAGTAAATGATAAAAATTTCTAAATGATTGCACTGCTTTAAAGCCTTTTGACCTTTAATAATGTGTGGATACACCCTGATGTGCTACGCATACTCCAACGCGCCTAGGCATGCTTCTGATCAGGTGGTCAATGTCCTCCTGTGGTATCTCATTCAAGGCAACCACCAACTCCTCTCGAAGTGCTTCTAGAGTCCGAGGAGGACGTTGCAAATTGAGCAATCTCCTACCCATCATATCCCACACGTGCTCAATTGGGGATAAGTCGGGAGATCTTGGTGGCCATGGTAATAATGTGATATCATTATGTTGAAAGAAGTCTATTGTGACCCTTGCAACATGTGGTTGGGCATTATCTTGTTGGAAAGTTGGATCTGCCAGGGTGTCAAGATAGGGTAAAAGATGGGGTTCTAGAACTTCATGGATATAACGCTGCGCGTTCATGTTACCTCTGATGAAGATTAAAGGTGATCTGGAACCATAAGCTATAGCACCCCAAACCATAACTCCAACAGTGTGATGAACATGTCTTTCAACAAAAAACTGTGGATTCGTCCTTTCACCACGTCGCCTTCTAACCCTGGCACGACCATCGTGCATGCCTAAACAAAATCGAGACTCGTCACTAAAGACAATACTGTTCCATTCCCGATCCCAGAGTGACCGTTGTCTGCACCACTCAAGGCGATTACGTCGGTGTTCTCGAGGTAAAGGGAGTACCCAGTGTGGCCGGTATGAAAACAAGCCAAAACTTCTCATTCGTCGGTAAACACTTCGCATGCCAATAGGTCTTCCGTGTTCTGCAAACCATTCATTTGCAATGGACCTGGTAGTGGAGAAACGGTCCCTTAAGGCCAATAATCTTAGGCGGCGATCTTCACGGTCTGTTGTTCTACTGCGGCGTCCAGTGCCCCTTGCTCTTTGCGTACGGCCTTCTCAAAGCCATGCCTGACAACACCTAACCACAGTGTCTACACTTCTTTGCACTCTAACTGCAATTGCCCGAAAAGAAAGTCCAGCTTCCTGAAGTCCCACTATACGGCCCCTATCAAACTCACTAAGTTGACGAAATCGTACAGATCTCCGTACTCTAGGCATCGTAACCGATCGTAAAGGATGTCAAGAACCAAAATCCGCCAACGTTGATTCTTTACTGCGGCCGAAATATTCATTTTTAGAGCGTTAGTGAATTAAAAAAAAGCAGTATAAAAACCGGAGTGTCCAACTGATAAGGCTGAAAATTTTTTCACTTGTTATTTACAGTAAGATAAATACATTCACCAACTTTTATTAAAATATAACCATTTAAACTGGGTGTTCGGATTTATATGTCACTTAGTATATAAATGCATGGGAAGCACCGACTCTATTTCTTTCTTTGTTTCAGATGGCAGACACAGTAAAGAAATCTCGAATAGTAAGTGATGATGACGATAATTTGGAAGAGACTTTACTTGAAGAGTTTAACATGAGACTAAAAAGCTGCATGAGCAAAGTGTGTATATTTTTTTGATTATTTTCAAGACAGCATACTTTCATCGAACTTTTACATTGAGAGCTGAAAAAAAGGTCGCACCTCCTGGTATATATAGGGAAAAGCGCTCGATCACGTCATTTTTGATTTATAGGGGGACGTATTTTCATCTATAGCCGTACAATACAGGGTGATCCAAAAATAAGATATTGAGTTACACTTTAGATTTTTAAATGGAAACACACTTTTTTAAATTTTAAAATATCCGTGAAGGTTTTAGTAACTTTTTTATAATAAAGTTTAAATCTATCTTCAATCGTTGTGAAGCTATTTGAGTTTATAATAAAATTCTAGAAATAGTGATGATAAAAGATTTTATCGTAAGAATAATAATCAATATAGTTCTTAGTATCAAGACTTTAAAATTAAAAACAAGTCTCCGAATATTAAAATAAGCAAAAAACAACTTACACTTTACACGGACATTAAAGTTAAAGTTAAAATTAATTTGCTATAACCACTGAAAGTGGTGTCCATTTATATCCATGAAATAATAAAGATTTTGTTCGAATGAATTCCTCACATTTTCAAGCAAGTCTATTCCGCTAACGCAGAGCTTGAATGGAATGTGGCTTCGTACATTTCAAATGCCCCCAATAAAGTAATCTAAAAGTCCGCAGATCTCGCCGTCCACCCGATGGGGCCTGGTCTGCGGATCCACTGATTTGGGAAATGGGTGTCCAAAAACTGTCGCACTGGAGTCACATACTGCGTCGGTGCATCATCTTGTTGGAAATGCACTTTGTTAATAGATCGTACACTCATCCGAGAAACAAACATTAAATAACAGATTTGCATTGTTGATTAAAACCCCAACCTTTACAATCGGGGGTGCGACCTTTTTGTTGGTCCACCCTGTATAATTTACTGATACTTGCTAGTACTTGTATAAAAGGAGATAATTGTTGAAATTAGCCATTCTGATTATGAGAAGATACTCTATTCACACAACTGTCTTCATTATGAAGAAAGATGCTTCAAGTTAAATATTTATTTTGCAATCATCATAATAGCGTGTAATTTGCGGTTTCATTTGCTGTTATTTAAACAAGCCGAATAAAAGTCAGAAATAGGCAATTAACATTAAGAACGTTAGAAAGGCATTTAAAGGCGCCACTTAAAAATAAGCGTTTTTAACGGAATCCTTGCTTCCTTATGATGATTTCAATGAAATACGTACACAGCACAAAATAAAACTAGTTTAGCTGTTGGGTGTTTCTTTTTCTCATGTATTATATTGATCCCATCAATATCAACATTTTCGATCACGTATTATTTTTTATGTGAACGCAACTATTGTCAATTACAAATCTGACAACTCTAAACAAGTGTGCTTCCTGATGATTCAATAAATACTAAAGTATAAACGCTCCATCAGTTAAAAAAGTATGCTGTCTTGACTTGTAACCCCCAATTGCTTTGTGTGGCGTGCTCCACTAACCTCGCTCTTGCAGGATGATCTCCAGCTGCCCGACGAAGAGCAGGAGCAGGAAGACTCTACTGCACTTCCCCCACCCACTGAAGGCCATTACGCTAGCCCCCCTTCCCCTCCAAGACCGTTTCCCGCCAAAGGAGCGGAAGAAAGTACGGCCTTGATCGAAAGCGAAAGACAGGCTAACTTCGAAAACAATGTCGAAAATATCTACGAGACCTTGCCAGAAAAGACTGCACCGCACTGTGAGGACCAATATGTGGACATGGTCCACCCCACCATCGAAATCCAAGATCAAGAAGAGAACGTCATTGAGGAAGAGAATAGCGATCTGGCAGATACTAGTTATGAAGTTGTGGATGCGAATAGACCCTCTTTTTCACTCAACAAGACTGACCTATCCATGGACGAACCTGGCAAATCTGTCAAGTCGATGTTTTTGAATACAGATGATGCTGCAGCTACGCTTCTTTTTACGCAAACTGTCACATCGCCAATGCTTACACCCTCCGAAGAAAATATCGACTTCCTGAAAGGGTTTCAAAGAGAAAATACCAATTCCGATAACACCACAGTCTCAGAAGATAGTCCTCCAAAAGAAGATAACTCTACTGATGTCAGTGCTGAAAACTCTGCTAGCGAACCAGCTGTTGAACCTTTAAAAGAGAATATATACGAAAATGCTGAAATTATAAAAAAGCAACCCTCGGACTTGTACGAGAATCTTAAACCAAACTCAGTCAAAGAAAATATTTACGAAAACGTTAGAGAATTCATGGATGAACATATTTATCAAGACATAGAGGAAAGTGGAAAGAACGATGTAGAGGAATCCATTAAAAAAGACGAAAATCTGTATGAAAATCTCGAAGAACTCAAAAAGAATTTACCTGATGAGGTTATGATTGAAAATTCGTTATACACTTCTGATGACATCACTTCAAAAGAAGAGGTAGATACATCTCTACATCATGATGGATATGAAGTCATAAGGGCCGACGAAATTTTTGAGATTCAAACTGAACATTGCAAGATCACAGAAGAACATTCCAAGATCGTTGAGAAGCATACCGATTATTCTGAAGTCATAGAAAACAAAATCATCGAAGTAGTTGCGAATAACGGTAGTGATACTTCTTCCATTAAATCTGAAACTTATTCTATTTCTCCTGAGAAGTTTTCGAAGAATAATGATACATTATGTACCAACCTTTCAGCAAATGGCTCCGATATATTTGAAACTCAAGAAAATAATACAAACGGAGTAGACACTAAGCGGGATGTATTAGAGAATCACAATTCTGAGACGGTGGAGACTAGAAATGGAGCAATACAAAACGGAACGTCAGCAGAATCGCTTAAAAGCAATACAGATGTAATAAAAACCACTAACGGAGACTTGAAAGAGTCTTACACAGAATTCATTCATCACAGCAAATCAGAAAGCAATTACTACGAAAAATACACGGAAGTAGTCTCGAAGAGTTTGAAAGTGGAAAGTAGAGAAAAAGATACCGAAACCGTTCCACCGGAGATAGTTAAGAATTTAAAAAATCAGTTTTTGAAAACGGGTGTAGACGCTGTGGCAACGAACAAGAAAGAGTTAGGTGGAGTTACGGAGTTACGCACAGTGAATATATTGAACAAGATTAATAAATTTGAGCACAAAGATGGCGGTGATAGTAGCTACGCTACTGAAGAGGAGGATGTGAGTACAAGCTTAGGCTAACGGGTATCTGGTAGTGATTTTTAGAGTCATAAATGGCCAAAATTTAAAACAGTGCTTCTTTGGTCTGCCCTCAGACCATTTTGTTTCCCTATATTACCACGTCACTGGCGGGGACATATTGAAATAGCGAACAATGTCTAAAATGAGATGTTTTTTGGATGTTCTACGACATACGAAAAATCATGTCACTCATTTCTGTCCGTCCGTCTGTTTGTCCGATAATCCTTGACCCGTCTATATCTTTGAAAGTACTTTTACTACTACTACTACTACTACTACTATGCCAAGGACGAAAACTTGTTGTCGGTTTTGAAAATCTGTTAAGTGGCGGCTCAGCTAACGATAAAAAAAAAACGAAAAAGGTAAAAGTTGCTCAAACTCCGTGTTTTGACGTTTCAGAGACTTCTGTTCATTTCCAGAAACATTTTTGCTGGGTTAAAAATTGGGGATTAGCATACTGTGGGGGTGGGGGACTATATCTCAGTTTTTTGACGTTAGTATATCAACTGCGCCTATTAGACATATATCACACAACATAGATCTTCCCCTACATTTGCCATTGAAACTTGGAGAAATGCTTTCAACAGGCGTTTCTGTTCTGTGGGTTCACCGGCGCCACACTCTCATCGATGAGTATCGTGCCGTAGCGGACCGCTAATGTCCGAACTGTCGTCCTAACGAGTGCCTAGTCTGACTAGTGACTAGTGGATGCGTCGAACGGTGTTGCCAGAGCGAAGTTTAAAATATCCGTCACACGTATCGCAAAATTCCGCTACATGCCGCTACGGTCTAAAAATTTAAGGGGGGGGAGGCTTAAAATAAACAATATATTTTTTAGATATTTACTTTTTTTTAAACACTGTCTAAAAACCCTACTAAAAATACAAACAGTAACATAATATAATTGCAATTTTTCGTAAAAACATAAAAAGTATACCTCTAAAAAAACAAAACTGTCTTTGAGTTAGAATTAGGAACTAATAAAAAAATAGAAACTATCACCAATATCTTAATCTTAATAGAAAAAAAAACAAAAAATAAGGACAAAGAAGAAGCGGAAATGTGGAAATGCCTACGTTTGCTTATTTTATTCACAGTCAGAATCAGAAATTACTTCTTCTTCAGCTTGTTCTTCCTTATTTACATTATATAAATTCTTTTTATATTTGTTTAAATAATTCTCATTAAAACTATAGGATAAACAGCACTGTTTTTTTGATTCCAAGTCTAATTTAATTGTAAGTAGTGCAGACAAGGTTGATGGTATTATTTTATTTCTTTTTTTTGTTTTGTAATCAAGCATATACGAAAAAGTTCGCTCAACATCAGCGTTTCCATGAGGCAATGTTAAAATGATTAGAGCCAGTTTAGCTATATTGCGAAATAAATATTCGTCATTAAAATTTTTGAGGTCGTTTACAAACGACCAAAATTCAATGACATTACTTTTTGTTTTTAAAATTCCCTCTTTCTCACTATCACTAAAATAAATACATATTTTCTTTAGTTCCAAAATTGCCTTTTCGGTTTCAATATGAAGGGCATTTTTTTTAAAACGGCGTCCTGAAAGGTATCACTTATAATAAGACGATTGTTCATCACATCAACCGGTGAGAGAAACTTTAGCTCTGAAAAGAAGTTGTTTTTGATAGGAAATCTTTTAAGGGACTCTTCTACCGATTTTTGGTAAAATGTGACACATTTTAATTTAAATTGTTCGATTGCCGTGTTATTGCAGTGTTTTATTGCATCCATTGTATGCCGACCAACATTCACTTGTTCAATTGGTAATAAGCAGTGGGGATCATTAGGATTTAGATTATATAATTTCTCATTTTTAGAATATTCTGGTCGCATAAAGTATGTACATAGATGACGTACAAATCGCTTACTCTCTATTGATATGATATTGAGCATAACTTTCTCTGATTGGAAGAGAGCATTAAATTGGTTAAAAATGGGCAACACGAATTTAAAAAACATTAAATACGCCTTAACAAATGGATTCTGTAACTCATTAAGTATTACATTTGCTACAGAATTTTTGTCTTCAATGGAAGCTAATCTAAATAGGCTAAGCAAGATGTCCCACTGATCCAAAACTCTATCAACACATTTGGATAAAGCAAGCCACCTTGTTTTACTAGGGCTTAAAATTTTTAATTTTGACTTTTTGAAATATTCCTGTAATCCTTCAAGAACACACTGCCTTTTTGGGCTTCTTGAGAAGTAAGAATATAAGTTTTGTAAAAGAGCTTCAACGTTGCTTGGAATCTTTTCAGCTGCCGCCACCGCCACTAAATGAGCAGAGTGGCAAATGCAGCCATTGACAATTATATTAGGATTATCTTTTAAAAGATAAGTTTTGAAAGATTCGTTATTGCCCATCATAACACTAGCGTTGTCGGAACAGTATCCAACAATATTGGTAATTTTTACTTGATTGGATATAACGCATTTTTTCAAAAGAGAATATAAACCTTTGGCGGTACCTTCATCTGCGTTTATTTTAATTATATCTAATAAATGGGTTTTAATTGAATTTTTATGAATATACCTTACAAGAATGCCAATTCTGAAATTATTTTGTCTTTAATAACAGGAGCCAGCACATTTTTAATTATACTTATGCATTTGGATCTTTTTAATTTAAGTGAGCTAGAGAGATCTGGGTATTTAAAACATAATTGACTAACTCCTGTTATATGATCAACAGTTCTAAAACTTATATAATGACTTACAACTAAAAGACTATATCTTAAGCAAGCAAATATTTGCCGTTTTTCCAACTCACGTGCTTCCCGAGACTGAAAAGTGCTATCTAACGTTCTTACATTTGAAATTGCTTGTACATTAGTGGCATGTCTTTTTGATTTCGAATGATTCACTAAATCTGATTTTTTAGCACCCATTATTTGATTACAAGCTTTACATTTTGCTTTCAACTTGTCATTTTCAATTGGTCCCAACCAGCCGTTAAATAACGGATCTTCTAGCCATGATGAAGTAAACATTTGTTTTCGTGTCTTTTTCTTAACAGGTTGCTCTGGCTCTTGGTTATCCTGAGATTCGCAAGTCGAATTATCAGGCTCGGACCTGATTCCACTAGATTCCGCTCTTCTATTTTGTCTGTATTCAGGTTCGGGATGCTCCGAGTCCGACACAGATGCAGTCGAAGTGGATCGTACGGCCACGTTTGGTTTCACCGTTTGTTTTTTAGAAGGATTTTTATCAAAAAAATCGTTAATGGTCTGCTGTCGCCTTTCCATTATTCCTATTTTCCAGAAGAAAAAGCGTTAAAAACAAATTTCGTGACTAAGATTTATTTCTGGATCAAACTATAATATGTTAGATATTTAAGCAGTTTTGTTACTTACCAGTAGATTTTATATTAAAATCTGCAGCAAATGATATATCAATAAAATGATCAACACAAAAATAAGAACACTAATATAAACGAAACTAAACAGTATATACCCAGAGCTGAAAAATACAATACAAAGCGAGAAACCTAATATTATGTCTGCCTGCTGAGACCTGTTAGAAACGATTAGTATTGAAAGCAGTACGTACGCCATCTGTTATTGAAAAAAAAGGCAAGTGGAATAATTCTCTTCTGTTCCTAGATGGCTCAGCGGCACCAAATGCATCAATTTTATTATTAATGTGATAATAAATCAGACTCTAGCCACTGCCTATTTAGGATTTAGAACGTTATTAACGTTAAAACAGTGAAATAAATATGATAGTTTTGTATGTAATAAATTCCGCTACATTTTGGGCTAATTTGCTCTACCGCCGCTACGCCGCTCTTCTCAAAATAATAGCGGAATTCCGCTACGTATGGCAACACTGGTGAGATGTGGGCGGCGGCGACGTTGCCAGATGGACGATTCCATTGGTAGGACGGGGAAAACTGTCTATGGACTACGGGCGTGGTTGACTTATTTGATCCGCTTAATTTCCCTGTTATACATGTTCGTAGTTTTTCTCAGAGGGTCTAATTTGTGTCGAACATAATCATGTACGCTTAAAAAAAATTCGGTCTCCCTCTTCAATTTTGACTCGTAGACGCCCCATCCTCCTCCCAGCACTTTTCTAGATCCGCCCCGGTGCAGAGTCAATCTACTTGACCCTTCTTTTTAGTATAGGAGACGGACAACATTTTTACAAAATAAATGTCAATCTACTTATGTTGAACTGTTCAAAATAGCATCAGCTAGAATGCAAGACTAGAACTTTCTCGTCATAGATTGCAGAATCTTTGAAATACAGGGTTATCCAAATTAAGTGTCCACCATTAGTAACTTTGTTATTAGTGAAAATACAAAGTTGTTTGAATTAGCAAACTAGTAGCATTTTTAACGCTGGTAAAAATGAGAAATAAAAAAAACAATTGAGAGTCGTTATTTTGATTTTTTTCAGTAAAATAACATTTTTTTAAATGGAAACCCCTGTATATTATATTTTTTTCTGTTAAAGCATCAAATTTTAAACAAAAAAGCTTACAATAACTTTTCTCCTAGGTTACAAATTGTTGAAGTTATGGCCTCCAATCTGAAACAATTAAATTGTATCGACAAACTTTATTTTCAACATCAACTTATAATCTTACAAAATACAATAACAATTTTTTTTAAAGAAGATGCTCGAAAACACCACCTTGTTCTTCAATACATTTTTGGGCATGTTTTTCAACTGCTCGAACTGTCTTAAGTATGGTCCTACCATCTATCTGGGTTATCTTTTCCCTAACTGCAGTCTTTAACGCGTCAAGGTTATCGTACCTTCGCTTGTAAATTTGGTTCTTTAAGTAACCCCACAAGAAGTAATCAAGTGGGTTTAGATCTGGTGATCTGGGAGGCCACTGTATTGGGCCATTTGTTCCTATCCACTGATCATTAAACTTGTTTTAGCAAAAACATTTTCGTTGCCCCTAAATTTTCGATAAAGTCTCAGAAAATATCGTTCATACGGTTGAATGCGAGCGGGATATAATTCACTGCTCTCAAGGAGGATTTTCTGCACACTAAATAGCATTCTAACATATCACACTTTTCTTCATGGGAGAACATTTTTCTTTAAATTAATGACACAATAAAGCTTATAAACAAGTATTTACACTAATGTTTGACATTATTTGATTTTATAATTGTTTTCCAAAGCCTTCTAGTTGCGAGTATGTCCAGTTTAACAATTTGTCGCTTATCTTAATGCTGTCAAATCGCGAACGCCATGTTGTTTTCATAGCCGTCTTAATATTATAATACTGCAAATAATTAAAAATATTTATCGTTATTTTGACTTTACTTTTGACTTTAGCGGAAAAGTCATTATGAACTTTTTTGTTTAAAATTTGATGCTTTAACAGAAAAAAATATAATATACAGGGGTTTCCATTTAAAAAAATGTTATTTTACTGAAAAAAATCAAAATAACGACTCTCAATTGTTTTTTTTATTTCTCATTTTTACCAGCGTTAAAAATGCTACTAGTTTGCTAATTCAAACAACTTTGTATTTTCACTAATAACAAAGTTACTAATGGTGGACACTTAATTTGGATAACCCTGTATACCAAGGTTATTTCTTAGTGAGTTATTATTATATATTAATTAAAATATTCTACCAGAAGATCCCCATTGCAATAGAAAGCTGAGCCTGTGCGAAACTAAGCATACACATGCCTTGACGCGTTAACCACTTATGCTTACAGCTATTATACAGGGTGTCCCATAAGCAATGGTTAAATTATCTTAGCCCAAAAGTCAAAGGCAACCAACATACAGGGTGATGAACTTATTGTAATTTTTTTTAATTTTCGCCATAAATTTAGCATCTATACTTCGTTTTTAACGAAATTTGGCATATGTGGGTTTTTTATATGGTTAACCTAAAAATTGACCTTTTTCAAATTATCTTATACAGGGCGCCATCAGCAACATTTTTTGTTTTTTTTATACTTCGTAACTTTTTACGCTTGCTATTATTTAATTTTTTATTTAAAATTTGCATTGCGCAATAATATTTGTTTAAAAAAGGTATACTATAAAAATTTCGCTCTTTCACTCTTTTGGAGATATTTACATTTAAACCAATTCACTCACTTCTTGGATATTGAAGGTGCATTTAATTGCACCACAACCGACTCTATCAGACAGGCCTTGGTTAGACACGGGGTTGGATCAATCCTAATAGATTGGGTCCTCTCTACTCTGGAGGGTCGGGTAACAACAGCTATGCTGAATAACGTAAGCTGCAGCGTGAACGTAGCTAGAGGCTGCCCTCAGGGCGGAGGTCTGTCACCCCTACTGTGGTGTATCGTGGTGAACGAACTGCTCGTTAGGCTCAGCAGTATGGGTGTCTACGCGCAAGCCTATGCTGATGACGTAAGCATAGTGGTTAGGGGGCGTTTCTGTAGAACAGTCTCGGAAATTATGCAGGGCGCTCTGCGCTCCGTGGAATCGTGGTGTAGGGAAGTCGATCTTTCTGTTAATGCTGAAAAGACCGAGCTGATCCTATTCACTAGGAGAAGAAGGCTTGACGGACTGGTCATGCCGACCTTCTTTGGGACTAGATTAGTTTTGTCCCAGTCAGTGAAATATCTGGGAATTATCCTGGACTGCAAACTGAACTGGAGAGAGCATGTGGAACACAAGGTTAGCAAGGCTCGCAATTCGATGTGGGCTTGTAGACGTGTTGTCGGTGTAAGGTGGGGGCTTAAACCTAAAGTGGTATACTGGCTCTACACGACGATAGTACGTCCATCTCTCTTGTACGGCTCCCTGGTCTGGTGGCCTTGCATTAGAACTGAGTCAACTAAGGCCAAACTCAATAAAATTCAGCGTTTGGCCTGTATTAGCATTACAAGCGCAGTGCGAACAATGCCATTGAGTGCAATGGAAGCTCTGTTGGATCTCCCACCGTTGGATCTGGTGATCCGCGGTGAAGCGAGAGTAGTCGCTCATCGACTGTGGAGTCAGGGCAGCTGGGCTTTCTTGAATCCGGTCAAGGGGCATACTGCCATCTTAGTCGAATTAGAAAGGGAGGACCCCGTCCGTCTAAGCAGGGGTGATCGTATTACCCCTAAATATCGCTTCAACCGCAACGAGGGAGGAGTGGGACGCCGGTAGCCGAGGACTCTCCGAAGTGAGCGGGCAGGTCTGGTACACGGACGGCTCGGTCACCGAAGAGGGCTCAGGTGCTGGTGTCTCTGGACCTAGAACTAGGCTATCTCTGCCTCTCGGTGAGTACACCACCATTTTCCAGGCGGAAATCTTTGCGATTCTGGCTTGTGTATCTCACATTCTGGAGGAGGGTGGGACTAGGAGAAGAATAACAATCTTATCCGACAGCCAGGCTGCAATGAAAGCACTAAGTGCATGTAAGATTACTTCGAGTCTTGTATTGCAATGCAGGGAGGCTCTGGATTGCCTCGCAGCGAGGCATCCGGTATCGTTAATATGGGTACCGGGGCACGCTGGGATAAGGGGCAATGAGACGGCGGACACTCTGGCGAAAACAGGATCAGCCAGCAAGCTCGTTGGTCCTGAGCCAGCTCTAGGAGTAACCGCGCATAAAGCTAGGAGGAAAATGGAGACGTGGGTTGCAAGACAACACTCTCAGAAATGGAGAAGTAGCTCTAGACATCTCCGCCAGGCACGAGAGCTCATTGAAGGGCCCAGTGCTAAGGATGGACGCTTCTGCCTATCTCTGGGTAGAGCCAACCTAAGGTTGCTGGTGGGACTGTTGTCTGGCCATAACACGTTAAGGCGGCACCTGCACGTGATGGGGGTGGCTGAGGATCCCTGTCGCTGTGAAGCTCTGAGCTACTATAGGCAGACTATACTGGGGTCCATTACTTTGGACCCTCAGGACGTAAAGGAGCTTGGACTCAAGGCGATTCTCAACTTCGCTAAAAGGGCGAGGCTTGTGATTTAAGTATTGTAGAGGTGCATAAGGGCCCGCTTAAGCGGCCTATGCACTGGCTCCTTATGGTGGCCGGGATGCCTCTAAAATTCAAGATTCATTCATTCAATTCACTCAAGATTAAATTTGATTTTCCTGAGTTAAAATATTTTTTAAATAGGCTGTGTGTGACGAGAACAATTATAAACATCATTGTCACCGTCACGTCACGGTTTACGTTGTTGTCAGTTACTTTGATGCGTGGTTATAAAAATTCAAACTTACACGTTTAGTGCCGTAATCTATTACCTTTTATTGCGTACTTTTAGTATTAATTCCACTATTCATTGTGTATTTATCACCATTACTTATGGGACACCCTGTATAGATGTCGGCCACAGTTTATGTGTCAGCATTCCACCTCTTGGACTGTTGCCGTATGTTATGGGGTTTTCTTCTCCGTCGTTGAAAAATTCTGAGAGTAGTCATCTAAGGAATAATTACACCCGAGGTTGAAGGGTGATCGTTCCCTGGAAAGTTGGTGTCATGTTTAAGAAACTGCTTAAAATTTTCTTTAAAAGAAAAGTATAGTCTGTTTCTGTTACTTCTAAGGGAATTACTGCGATCCTGTTTGACAATATAGCTATGATGATAATTGTAATTACAGCCTAGACTGGGCAGTTTCTTAGAGAAATACTTCAGTCAATGGATGCAAGCAGCAACTTCGGTTGTTAACATAAACACACGGATATCGCTGGACCTAAGCTCGGGGGTTTCTGGTAGATTATATCTTATGGGGCTGCACCTCTTACTGAATAGTGGAAAATCTGGTACTGTAGATGTTTATCAATAAGGGTACTGTAGATGTAGGTATATCAATAAAGAACGCTACTGGTGTAGTAGTAAAAGTTCGGTCTATGGGGATAATAGTAGATCTTTGGAAACTTACTTTTCGATTATCTGAGCCTATCTACCAGATACCCGACAATACCTCCAGAAGTAGATTAATAATGCATGCACGCTCAATTTTTTTTTGTTTTATTTCGGCTTTTGTTATAAGTTGTGGTTGAGTTTGTTTTTACAACTGACACAATTTCAAAAACACTTGGATATTCTACTGAATCAAAAACGTGTTATTTTTATTCATACTTTATTATTCGGGTCTTTTTGTTTATTCATATAGAGTACTGTTACGGAAACATACAGTGAAACAACCACAATTCAATCAGGCGAGTTACAGGGCGGAGAAGAAAAATGTCTCAAGAAAAAGAAAACAAAAAAGTCAAGAAAGGAAGAAAAAGAAAATATATCTGTTGTAAGTTTATTTTTGGTTTGAACTGTTTTCATTTTCATTGGTTGTTTTTGTGTGCAGTTTGGTTATAATTACCTCTTGAGTTTTTTGTTTTGTCTTCATACAGTAGTGTCAAAAGGTTGAGCAGTACATAAGCGAGGGTCGCCCTGTATTAAGAATAATCGGTATAATTTAAATTGAAAGACGACTCATTCACAAATATCAAATTAGAAACAAGATTGATTGTCTCAAAAACGACCCATATTAACGAGTACATACTTGTTTAACTATATGATTAGTCATTCCCAAAATATCTTCGTTGTACCATTATTGTACAGGGTGTAGAAAACTTACCAATACCGCGTTAGAGCTAGTGAATTGATTTTTATGTGGTTCGCTAAATTATGAAGTATCTTTTAGAAGTTATTATGGAAAAAACAATTTCCATTTGCGGCCTTGTGGTGCTTGTATCTGCATAGGGGAGCGCTGTAGAGCATTAGATCGAAGAGCTTGTGATCTAGTTTGAAAAATATAGCGTAATTTTACATGTTTTTGAAAACGAAATAAGAAGGTTGCGCCGTGGTTTTTGGATAAAATATATATTTGAATATCAGTATAACCGAACATCCTGATCAATTAATAAATTCGATAATACACATTTTTTGTGATGTATTTGTATATTTTTCGTACTGGATGTTGGACTTGGCGATAGTGCCTGATTCAAATTGTGCATCAGCTTTCCTTGGTTCCAGTAATTTCTTGACTTCTAGTTCTGCTCAGATGTACTTTTGTTTTTTCAGTTTGGTTTAATGCTTCACATATCGCTAGCACTTCTTTTTTCACTACTGTATCAGTTTTATTTTATTTTAATAACAGTTGTGTATTTTAGAAGGACGCTGAGTTGATAAATGGGGATTGTGTGTATAATGTGAACGTAAAAAGTTTGGTAAGTATTTTTGGATGTTCGCAGTAGAGACTATAAGTTTGACGAAAATATGTTTTTCGGTTTGTTCTATATTTAAACAAGGCTTATGGATATATTACCGAACAGTTGGAAAAACTTTTAGAGGCGCTTTCTTACCTGACAGCTTCTGACCGCTTTCTAGTTCTTTGCACGGGAATGCAACTATAGAAACCTAACCTGTCTCTTGATGTTTTGCTTTGACGTTGACAGTTTGTGATCACATTGCCAGAAAATCTTTATTCTTTTGTTTGTTGACTCGAACTCCAAACAATTTAATTCTTACGTGTCTAGGTTCTAAATGATGAAGATGGAGTTTGTCACACAAAGCTCTGCCAATAAAAATGTGGAACACATTATGCATTTATTTTCAGAAGCATTGTCAGCCTATCCAATTGATGTCTGGTGATGGTTTTAGAATAGTGGCGAATTTAGGGAGGGCGCGGGGCTCTCACGCCCCTCCCCCCTCCTCCTAGACGTCTGATACGTGCTTTTGTAATCTAACACCGTTCTGTTATATCCTGACACATCATGGCGACAGAGGCATACTAACTATAAGTTATAGCTATAGGAACTGAGCATTGCGATTTTTTGGTATCCTTTAGTATTCCAAACGCTGTCCCTCTTTGACATCAGTTACGTTTACAGCACATTTCTTACGATTTATACGTATATACGAGTATTGTGACTTGCGTCAAATCTAAGTCTGAGTAGTGTATTAGCTATACAGATTGCTGATTTTGTTCGGGGTTGGTGTTGCAGCGAAGCACTATGTTAAATGAACGCCTAAATTGGAAATAGACATTTAGGAGATTCGTTTGGCGGTGCGCCTGTGGCCTGTCCAGAAAATGCGTTGATCGATGCTTAAAGTAAATACCACGCGGCGCGCATCTCTTCCCGCGTATGTGTCTATTCATGTTGCTATATTCTATATTGAATTAGTACTTGTTTCGTACAAACATACATTATCAAAATAATTACTATCTAACCTAACAGATATAGTTTTTTCCAAAGACTTCCGAAAATTTGTTCGACAACGAACGCCTGAAGAATAACTGTAATATATAACAGTGAAGTTTTTTATGTTTTAATATTTAGTATTATTACACTAGTGAATTATAAATGCCATGTACTTATTTTGTTATCATATAATAAATATTGCCTTTCTGAGGATTTCCGAGCATTTTCCATGTTTTTTTTTCAAGCTAGCATTGGCCAGATAGAACACAGTGGATTAAGGAGCAATAATAGGATACATTCTAGAAGTTCCATTAAGGTTGAAAAATTACCAGCCCCAAATATCGTTTCCTAGACGAAATCCTAAATCCGCCCTTGTTTTAGAATGATGGCGCAACACGTCAGAGGTCTGCATTTTTATTGAAAAGCTTCTATATCAAATATTCGAATTAATATTTTAGTATAGATATTCAAAATTATTTTCTAGTTATAGATGAAGCCAACTACCAGCCGCCAGGAACTTGCCTTGTTGCGCTTTCTTACGATCTTCATTATTCAGGAACATCTCAAATGTATGTTCTGACTCTGGGTCACAAATTATCATTCTTCTAACATCATCCATTGTGTGGTATCGGTTTAATGTAGGTTGAATGAAAAAAAAAAACGGTGAAAAATCGCAACCTAAAAATCTTGACACATTGCCATTTTCGTTATCGCCACTACTTCGGAACGTATAAAACCGAATAAAAAGCTAGTACATGAGGAGGCAGGGATGAGTAGCTTAGGTGCATTATACTCTAGAGTAGTAGACAGTTCCGAGTTACTCCGAGTAACACAAATGAGGCACTGGAAAGCGGCTCTGGATTGTAAGCGACTCTTCACACATTTCTATTGTTACTGGTGGAGGCACTCACAAGTGCAAAATGGCAATCTAGTACTAGTCTCGTTATGAGTTTGCAACATCTGAGAGTCAGTATTGCCTGTATGATATCCGTGCTGCTCTTAATATTTTGGCCTGTAACAGTTAAGTAAGGCCATTACTTAGCAGACATTTTTAAAGATGAGTTTTGGATAACAAATTATTTATTCTATTTAATTAACTGCCTTTATATGCTATGACCAGATATAGGATAAAGAAACTGCCATTTTCTACAGTTATATATAATACCTTTTGTAATGGGCCCATTTAACCATAAAAGTTTAATTATAGAACAAGTAACAGGCTTTTTTCGTTCGAATATTTACAGTTTCTCATAATTACGATCTCTTTCAATTTACCTAAGTATTTACTTTTATCAACATTGGAATGGTGATTGAACAAAAACGTCTTTAATCTTAATCGAATTTTTGAGCTTTTAATCGCTTTCGATCAACAAAAGCAGCTGACTCATTAAGACTAAAAATGTTACTTTTTCAATGGTAAGAAAGTTGTGAAAAAAATAATTGATCAAAGGTTGACCACAAAATTTTAATCAGGCGTAAAGTCAAATTTGTACTTTTGATTAGTTAATAGAGAGTGTGCTTGATTATGGATTAATTTTGTTTGCGTTTTTTGCATGCTTGCCCGTGTTTGACTTGTTTGGCAAAAAAATCAGTGTAGGAGCTTTGGAGACTTAACTAAACTATCGGGCGAAGACAGGCTATCCAACAGGCAAAAAAACAAAACGGTAAGAGCTTTATCAGATTATGCAAAGTAGTTATTTCAGTAATGCAGGCAGCACACAACATTTATCGTACAGCAACTCTCTGATGCGTAAGTCAGCAGACCAGCAAGCTCGTATGGACATACGACCACGAATCTCATGGTGATCATAATCGAATCGTGCTATTTTAGGACCAACCAAAGTACAATTATTACAGAATACCATCGTACAACTAAATCAACTTGAAATTCATGAGTACCAGTAACAATACCAAGACCCCTGTTAAACCGACGCACAGTGGTTCAGAGGGCACCATTTCCGCGAAAAAAGTACCAAGATTTCTAATTTTGTTACTGGTAAACCGATTTTTATGAGTCATACCTCATTAAAAAGCTAAAGAAACTGTCTTTAAAAAAATGTGTCAAAAATTGCCAAATGTCAAACATTTAAGATGGCGGCACTATATTAGCACATATAGCACATATTCCTGAGTTCAAAATAAGCCGATTTGAAGTAATTTACCTTAGTCCAAAATTGCTCCGATTCCGATATACAGGGTGGTAAAGTTAGAAAATAAAAATCCTTTTTTCTTAATTTACAAGTTGCAAATATTTGCTGCTAGTTTTTTCTTTATGTGTTGAGGTGTCTCATACGCTCATTTTAAAACATCGGAACCCATTAGTGTCAAACTTCAGAAAAAATGCACGGATTAACTAAAAAATTAGCCACGACAGCGTAAAGCGACTGTCAACATTCCTTTCAAATTCAGTTAATTTTCCCAACGTCAACTATATTGAACTTAATAGATCAGAGCTTTGATAACAGCTACGTCATAGGGCACGCCTAAATTTTAACAAAATTTATAATGAAAATTGACAAAAAATATTTATTTGTTTTGACAAGAAAATGTAGCAAATAAGTAATTTTGGGCTTAAAAAAATATCTTAGCAGAAAAAGTAAAGAGAAATATAATATTAATACTTGGTTACTATTTTCGCGGAAATGGTGGCCTCTGAACCACTGTGCGACGTATGCCATCTCCAATTTCCATATTTCCTTGTTTCCCTCCCTTTTCTCTAACGGTCCGCTATGACAGACAATGACGAATAGAAGTAGCTAGTGCACAAATGAGAGAGATATTTTACTTACAGTTTAGATTAGGCTTATACAGTAGCGGAAAAAAGTTTGGAAATAAATATTAACATATACCTAAATTAAAATTGCGAAGGAACAGATAATATAAATATTAAAGTCTACCTTAGACTCCCGTACTAATACAAGGTTTATCTTATCAATATTCAAATTCTCTCAGCTTTTGTAACGACAAAAAATGGAAACATTTCAGGCTCAGGTGCGGATGCGGCAATCAGAAAAAAACCGATTATGTTTTAAATCGCTACATTAAATGTTTGTTCCATGAAGATCCTCGAATGCCAGCCACACAGATTTTCAAAAGAATCGTAGAGGAGGGTGCCGAGAATCTTTTTGTCAGAACAGTGCAGAAACGCTTGGTGGATTTTGGCCTTTTTGGTAGGCGTCCAGTGCAAAAGCCTCTCATTTAAAAAAAATCGTGTTGCTCAGCCTGAATTTACTAAAACTCATCGAACTTGGACAGAACAACAATGGAATACAGTTTTATGGAGCGATGCAAGCAAATTTAACTTGTTTGGATCTGACGGTACGGCATATACATATGTGAGAAAAAGAATCGACAAAAAATATCAGTTGCCAACAGTTAAGCACGGTGAAGGCAACATCGTGGTTTGGCGTTGTTTTTCTAGTTCTGGAACGGGTCCAATTGTTAAAATTGTTGGGAAAATGGAACAAAAACTTTACAAAGATATTCTTAGTGAACTCATGCTCCCTTTGCTGAAGAAGAAATGCTTCTACGATGGACATTCCAGCAAGACAATGATCCCAAGCATACCTCAAAATTCGTAAAGGACTGGTTAAGACTAAAATATTTTTACATGGCCTTCGCTACCCCGGACCTAAACCCTATGGAACATCTCTGGGAGCATGTTAAAAGACAACTTACTAGAAAAACTTAAAAAAATTGGAACGATTTATTTGATTATGTAAAAAATATTTGGCTAAATATTCCTACAGACGTCTGTAAAAAATTGGTGGCTTCTGTGAGCAGCAGATGTCAGGCAGTGTTGAATGCTACATGCTATACTACCAAATATTAGCTAAACAGTGTTTTTTTAAATCTTTTTGTAGAGTTATTGTATTTAATTTTGTAATAAAAAATATGTTTGCATCCTTTTGTCGTCTCATTTTCGGTCATAAAATAATATGAAGGTATTTTAATGCTAGTCTGTAGTACCACAGCAAATACAAATTGTTATTTGTATCTTCAAGACAGTAAGCAAACTATACGAGTAAAGGATAAAAAATTAGCACGCTTTTTAAAAATTACTAAGAATGTTTCCAAACCATTATCCGCTACTGTATGTCCGTACAAAGATTGTGTCTTGCTATTGATCTGTGATATGTTTTGTGCTGACCTAAATTTTGAGAAAATTACATTGATAAATATAAACGTTCAGCCATAACTATTTTTTATGACATATCCAAAAAACTAGTAGTAGTGTAATCGAAAATTTTGATAGGTCCCCACGATCGTCTGGTCAAATGAAACCACATACGTTTGATTCCTTTTTTACTGACGTTTCGGCCACCATGGTGGACTTTTTCGAGGCTCAAATATCAATCGCAATATATACTAAGTGACATATAAATCCGAACACCCAGTTTAAATGGTTTTATTTTAATAAAAGTTGGTGAATGTATTTATCTTACTGTAAATAACAAGTGAAAAAAATTTCAGCCTTATCAGTTGGACATTCCGGTTTTTATACTGCTTTTTTTTAATTCACTAACGCTCTAAAAATGAATATTTCAGCCGCAGTAAAGAATCAACGTTGGCGGATTTTCGTTCTTGACATCCTTTACGATCGGTTACGATGCCTAGAGTACGGAGACCTGTACGATTTCGTCAACTTAGTGAGTTTGATAGGGGCCGTATAGTGGGACTTCGGGAAGCTGGACTTTCTTTTCGGGCAATTGCAGTTAGAGTGCAAAGAAGTGTAGACACTGTGGTTAGGGGTTGTCAGGCATGGCTTCGAGAAGGCCGTACGCAAAGAGCAAGGGGCACTGGACGCCGCCGTAGAACAACAGACCCTGAAGATCGCCGCCTAATATTATTGGCCTTAAGGGACGGTTTCTCCACTACCAGGTCCATTGCAAATGAATGGTTTGCAGAACACGGAAGACCTATTGGCATGCGAAGTGTTTACACCGACGAATGAGAAGTTTTGGCTTGTTTTCATACCGGCCACACTGGGTCCTCCCTTGAACTCGAGAACACCGACGTAATCACCTTGAGTGGTGCAGACAACGGTCACTCTGGGATCAGGAATGGAACAGTATTGTCTTTAGTGACGAGTCTCGATTTTGTTTAGGCATGCACGATGGTCGTGCCAGGGTTAGAAGGCGACGTGGTGAAAGGAGGTATCCTCAGTTTTTTGTTGAAAGACATGTTAATCACACTGTTGGAGTTATGGTTTGGGGTGCTATAGCTTATGGTTCCAGGTCACCTTTAATCTTCATCAGAGGTAACATGAACGCGCAGCGTTATATCCACGAAGTTCTAGAACCCCATCTTTTACCCTATCTTGACACCCTGGCAGATCCAAAAAGATAATGCCCGACCACATGTTGCAAGAGTCACAATAGACATCTTTCAACATAATGATGTCACATTGTTACCATGGCCACCAAGATCTCCCGACTTATCCCCAATTGAGCACATGTGGGATATGATGAGTAGGAGATTGCTCAATTTGCAACGTCCTCCTCAGACTCTAGAAGCACTTCGAGAGGAGTTGGTGGTTGCCTGGAATGAGATACCACAGGAGGACATTGACCACCTGATCAGAAGCATGCCTAGGCGCGTTGGAGAATACGTAGCACATCAGGGTGCATCCACACATTATTAAAGGTCAAAGGGCTTTAAAGCAGTGCAATCATTTTGAAATTTTTATCATTTACTTATTATGCTTCATTAAGTACTTATACAAAATTTTATTAAAATAGAACCATTTAAACTGGGTGTTCGGATTTATATGTCACTTAGTATATTTTATGTTTACCTGAATTCTGATATTTGGATGCATTTACAAATAATTACATGCACACCTTGCAATATGTTACTCAACAGTCTAGAATTTTGATGTAAAGTTGTCAATGTAATTTTTATCTCGCTATCGCTATGAAGCTTGTTAGCTTAGAATCACAATAGCAACGGAATAGCTTCTAGTCGCATGAATTTTTGTATTTTTTGCTTGTTTTATAGAGAACTAGATCGCTGACGAATGTCTTGCTTGGCTCTAATAAAAAGATAGAGAATGTCTTCACCGAAGTATCAGTAAGGGCCTTGGTAAGCATATTTTCCGAAGAAAATAATCAAAAATAAGAATGTAATAGCGTACTTCTGTCAAGGATTTTGAGAAAATCACGTAGAGTCATTGGAGAGATAAAGTTTCTGGTCACATTTGAAGAGGTGATTATTTCAGTGATGATAAGACGAACGGTTTTCATAAATATGATAGGTCCGATAATGCTTGGTGTCCAAAATATAGGATGCCAAGCTTTTATGAAATATCGATCTGATGAGGTGTTACATTTTCTTATATTCTCCACATTCTTTTTACGCATGTTTTGGTAGCATTCTTGATTATTTTCTCATATCACATAGATCGTTAGTATTTTAGGTTAGATGTCGACTAACTTAGTTTCTTTTGCATGTGCATGCATGGCAAATTTTACACAGAAAGAAAAGTTTAATATTGTGGAAAACAAAAATCCGCTGGGCATAGTAAAAACTCCATTTAAAAGTGCATTGGTAAGTTTTTCAGGAAAATACTCCATTTTACTGTTGGTATAAGATATGAATATATTCCCCTTTTATAAAATCATTTTGAACGGTATTTGATGATCCGATAAGATCCGTTCTTTAATACAGATGTCTACCCTCTTACACAAGTTATTCATTTTATTTGCCCCTTTTTTTGCACATGAGTATTTTTTTTATAATTGCTATCATTTTCTGCACACTTCGAACTATTGCTTTTAGCTTCTTTTTATCCAAAATAGTCTTCGACCACCGATGAAACTCGTTATCAAATGCGATTCGTGTTTTTTTTTTTTAGAAATCAAGTTTTAGTAAATTTGACGCTCTCCAGAAGAAGAATGTTCTACATGTGCGATCGTTGGACTCAACCAAGGCTCAAGAGAAATTCAATGTAAGTATGAAAACTATACATTTTGTTCATACTGTAGTCTAAAGATGCAAGAAAGATTTTCAAATTGGTAGACGAGCTACTTAAGCTTAGTGCTAATGAGGCGCTGAAGGTGAAATTTGAACAAGGCTATCAAACATTCTGGCAGCAGGCAGAAATACCCAAATGAGTTCTGGGAAATTGCGAGAAAATTTCTGATAGCGTTTCGCTTCTCGTACTTTTTCGAAAAAGATTTTAATTATGTTTCAAATCTATTAAAAGAAACAAAGAGCACATTGAATATTTCAAACAAGGGAGATTTGTGCTTATTTCTTACAAAACTGAAGCCACATATTGATAATTCGCTGCCAACCCTCAAGTACATGTCTCCCATCAACATGACATGCACAACTATTTGGTTCTGTTTATTTATATTGCAGTCTTACGTTATTAATTATATTTCTTAATTATTATTCCAATAAATAGGATAAAAGAACATATTTTTCTTTTTACTTTTATTACTATGAAAATTTGTTATATCTAATCTTCACAGTTTGCCACGCCTTTTTTATAAACAAGAGGAAATGCTGGTGTGATTCCTCTTTCCTTTTTTAGTAATTAATTAATAAATAAATAAGACACTATAAATGAAATCTAAGGGTCGGCTAATGCAAAACAGCTATCAAGTACAAATTTAGGTGCTAGCTCAATAAAGCGGAGAGTAGGGGGGTTAAGAGCGCCAGTGACTCAAAGCGGATTAAGCCACAAATCCCCGAGATGTTAGTTGGAACTTGTTTTGCTTGACCACTACACAAAAGAAAATAATCTAACAATAATGACAAAACCTAATTAATTGTACACAGAGAGAGAAATAAACCAAGATATTTAAAAAAGAATCACAATATATTATCAAAACAAGCGGCACATATGCCCCACCACTGGAGTGCAAGTTAAAAGAAAGGATATTATTCAAAACTACCTGACAATAAAATTATTAGGCCGTGATAATTAACCCTGCAAAACAGGTACAGGTACACGTACGAAGGCTTTACAAATATTTTAACGCCTAAACCTAAACTTATCTGGACAGTGGTCTTCTTCCAATTACGGTATTAAAAACCCTAGAGAGAGAAAGACTGCTTAAAAATCTACACTCTATTCTCTGTCTGAGGCAAAACTACTCATTTAAACATTCGAATAAAGCAAGGGCAAGAAAAGATAAAAATGTACTAAAGTGATATACCCTCAGAAATGTATCCCTTGTTCTAAAATGAAGTTATGACAGCAAAAATCAAAATCATAATCAATGTAATGTAGTAAGCCCGAAAGAAGGTGACATTGTAGCCACTGCCCTATATTTGAATACGAAAAATGCCAAACAAATTCAACCACACTCTAAGAATTTAAATCAACCATAATTAATATCAATATCTATAAAATACCCAATTAAAATGATATTTTACCTGCTCACATCAGGGTTTTTTGTTAAGGGGAAGGGGTGGCTTCCAGCAAAATCGGCTGCGAACAGCTACAAGGCAGCTACGAAACAAAGCTGGTGTGAATGGTGGTTCTCCGCAATGCCTTTCCACTAAGGGGAAGCAGATATTGAACAAACTTCTTCAGGACATGCATTAATGGACCTGGTCCGATGGTATATAAAAAATCCCTTTAGAAAATGGACGTGGTAGCACCCAAACCAAAACAACTAAACGTGAGGTACAAAATAAAAGGTACTACTCCATAAACTGGTGCTTGGGAGTGCTACATCCCAGAATCTGGAAGTTAACGAAACAACACCCACACCATACCTCAGCGGAAAGAAAAGAAAAAATGTCGCTGGACCCGTCTGCACACGCAACCCCTAAAACAAGGTATCTTGATAGTAGATCAAATTTTAAATGAAGGTATCTTGATTTGAAAGCAAATATTCCTATACGGCTTGTACGTGTAGAAATAACAAGGTGGCGCTGGATGCCAATGGACGGAACCAACTCTACGAGGGACCAACGGTATTTTGTGAGGAAATTTCTGAGATACTCGTTAATAATACTATAACATTAGTGACAAAAGATTTCAACACAATACTGAATCGCTGATAAAGAAACATATAGTACATGTGGAATTATACAATCAAACTATGAAATGTTCCAAAAGAAAATCATTAAAAAGGGTTTGTTTTAGGAATCGGCACTCTACCATTAATAAAGAAAAATTAAAATTACTGGTAAGTGATCAACATAGGAAAAAAAAGGTTATGTGATTTTAGCACGTGACAAGTTCTTGACGAGCTTTTCGAATATAGTAGGGATGTAACGATGGATCTCGGAAATAACAAAATGTTTAAAGTGGTCTTTGAGAAAAAAGTTTGGTAACCACTGCTCTAAAACTCTATCACTTGGAAACGACAGCTCGGATTTTGGTGAAATTTCCACTATAGGCTACTACTATGCCAAGGACGAAAACAGTTCCTGGTTGTCGAAGATCGCCCAGTGGTGGCAAAGCCAGGAGAATGCCGAAAAAAAAGGGCACACTTTGTTTATTGACGTTTCTGGAGCAGCTCATGGCTGAACAAGGGGAAAAAATTGTTTGTGAGGAGTTTTTACCGGTATTTATAAACCCATTAGACATACTTCACACATGTATTTGGCTTAAGTCTTCTGAAATACACACATCAGCATCATTCCGATGGCAACGTTGTCGTTGCTGTTCAAATGGATGGGGATTGGGGACAATATTTTTCCAACAATGAATTTCTGATAGACCCGAACGATCAGTTCACCGTGAGTCTATTTGACTGTCTCTGTTAGTCGGAATATCTTTTCATTTGATGTAACTGATTATAAAGGCCCGAATGACGTGATTTAATTTAATTTGTTATACATGTCCGTGGTTCACTTTTTTCTGAAGGGGATCTTTTGCAGAATATAACTGATGATAGCGCTGCATTTGGAAGACTGGGAAAAAGCGTCAACCTACTTGACGGCATGTTTTATTTTGTATTATACACGTTTTACAGTCAGCAAGATGCAAGAGGAATGTTGATCAGACGCATGCGCACTGACAAAACAGCTGATTCGTTTTGTCATTTTCTTGCAACTGCCGGGCGTTGCAGGAAAAGTAATCAATTGGATTTTTATTGCAAGATTATCTGCAATTGATTGATTGTTATGCAAGACCTGGCAGAAAACGACAAAGTTTGAAACGAAGCACGCTCATAATATCGCCATGAGTCGGGGTTCAGTCGGACAATGCGAATTGTTGCTTTTGAGTTCTAGACTATAAATCGGGAATTGCGGGCTACGCCCTTTCGTGAAAATTGTTTCGATGCTGACAGTATTTGTTCACTGATACCTATCTGTATGTTTAAATCATTGGAGTGTTTGCAGTACGATATCGTCAGCCAATACTCTAATCTGTAATCAGTCATGTCTCATCTCAGTATTCATTTTTATCATTTATTTAAAGATATTGATGTCTCTCGTTGCATTTGTAAATCAACGCAGCTCGTATTTTGTGGTATTTGTGCTTAACATTTGCAGTAGCAAATCAGACGGATATTAGAATGTTATCAATAGTGAGTAATAAATTTATATGATTTTCAATAATGCCAATGTAAATGAATAAAATAAATTAAAACATGAATTGATATTACATTCAAGTCTCGGACATTGTATAAATTGACACCTTAACGATCTTGCATTTCAAAGTTTTGAATTCAAGTAGTAACAATCATAAAATGTCCCTTACTTATTTTTTGAATGGGTCAAGTAAGCAAGCTGAAATGAGAGGGAATGAATTTTATGCATGAGTACTATATTTTGGCGACAAAGTGGCGAACATTTCAACATGGTGGCATTTTAAAGCTCCTTATGAGTACTTAATTATCCTAAAATATAAAATCACTATCTTTCAAAATGGCGACTAACAGCCTGTCGAAGTTGCGTGTTTTTGTGCATTGAGTCACTTGTACCTCGATAACCAATTATCAAAACGTATGTCATATTACTCTTCTTCTCTTGGAAGGGACTATCAGAATATGTAATGAAATATGGGAGGTTCCACTTGAAAAAATTGTCAAAATATGTCGATTTTTTTTTAATCTGAATTTATTATTTTATTGCACATTCAAATAAACTCTGCCGAAAGAAAAATATTGATAAGCTTTGACAGCTTATCAGTTCGCTATTTTGAAATATAGAGATTTTATATTCGAGGGTAATAGAATACTCACAAGTATAGTTCTAGTCACCGTTCTTGGCGGTTACGTCATCAACGCCATATGAAATAAGTAAACCATGCTGCGCAGACTAATCTTCAGCGCATCTGCTACTCTCACCAGTATGCATGAAGTGGGTAACAGAGGATCGCTGTTTTCATTCTCTTCCTGGAAATACTTTAATAAATTTAGCACGAGATGTCGGCCTTCTCCACTGATCGTATTTCCGTATTTCCATTATACAATTTTCTATTGAAGATTGATAACAGGACTCAAATTGCACTCCGACGTCAAGTAAGTTGTCACTCTGACAAATATGATTGAAGGGCACTCATACGTAACGACAAAGTTTTCGAGACAACTAAAAAACGTATGTCTTTGAGCTTACCGTACAAACTTTCACACACAGGTGTAGGTTGCATGTGTAAGTACGAGGGAAATGGAGATATATAAAGGGATGCTGGCAGTCTTACTTTGACCCGCCAAAACGGCGACCTACAACTACAGATTCAAAATAAGATATACATGACTCTATTCTATTTAAAGAATGTCACAAGTTAGCCATCTTGAATTTTCCAACTGTTACCTTTATGTTAGAAAATAGTTCTTATGCATTAATTTCATCATCCCGAATTTTAACTCGCTAGCTAAACCAGTAGTACTCTATATTATGGTCAATGAGTGGTAGGGTACTTTGGGAATATTGGCCTCATTTTTGTTTAATCAACGTCATCCGATTTCAATTTGATTATGTCAGTGCATGTAACATCTTCGGAGCATCTATGTTATTTTTCAGGGAACTCAACAGATTGATACCACAAACTGCAAGGCCTGTTCAAAGGCAGTCTTCCAGATGGAACAGATTAAGGCCGAGAAGGCGATCTGGCACAAGAATTGTTTTAGGTGTACAGAATGCAGCAAACAGTTAACGTAAGTGCTTTATGTTTTTAAAAGCCTTTTGTATAGTTTCTTTATGGTTACTTCCCTTGGAAAAAAATAATACAGTGAATCATTCCACATTGTAACTTGCCCGAATCGACGCTACGGTTGGAATGGCTCCACTTTATGAGAATTAAATAGTATTTATAAAAGTCATAGCACGTAAATTATGTACCTGCCCTCCAAAATGGGAGTGCCATTATCATTTCACACTTTCACACGAAAATTATTTTCTCTGTCGACCCTTACGTTCAATTTGTATAGTACAGGCACTGCTTTTATGGTAGATTTAGCATAAAACATCACTCGTAATATCATTCCTATGTTAGTTGGAACTTCCAAATAAATTATGCCGCTCTTGTGTGAGAAGCGTTCTTCCTTTTTCAACTATACCGTTATCTCAGAATTATATATAGGCTGTCCCAAAAAGCAGTGACAGTCGGAATCCCGGATGACGAGCACCCTATGGGGAGTTTGAATCACCCCCATGTATATGATCCGGCTTTTTTAATTTAGGAGTTATGATTTTTTCTAATTTTCCGGGATTTTTTGTATTCCGAGCTTCTTTTGGTCATAGCTTCTTAAATAAGTGAGATAAAGAGAAACATGATACCAAACAAAAGAGTGAAAAAGCCTAACAACTTTATACGTGTTTTAATATAGAACAAAAACATGTTTTCCCCGTACGTATTATAAAAGCTACTTCGAGTCTTGTATTGCAATGCAGGGAGGCTCTGGATTGCCTCGCAGCGAAGCATCCGGTATCGTTAATATGGGTACCGGGGCACGCTGGGATAAGGGGCAATGAGACGGCGGACACTCTGGCGAAAACAGGATCAGCCAGCAAGCTCGTTGGTCCTGAGCCAGCTCTAGGAGTAACCGCGCATAAAGCTAGGAGGAAAATGGAGACGTGGGTTGCAAGACAACACTCTCAGAAATGGAGAAGTATCTCTAGACATCTCCGCCAGGCACGAGAGCTCATTAAAGGGCCCAGTGCTAAGGATGGACGCTTCTGCCTATCTCTGGGTAGAGCCAACCTAAGGTTGCTGGTGGGACTGTTGTCTGGCTTTAACACGTTAAGGCGTCACCTGCACGTGATGGGGGTGGCTGAGGATCCCTTGTGCGAACGCTGCGGAGTAGAGGAAGAGACCTCGGCGCACGTTTTGTGTCGCTGTGAAGCTCTGAGCTACTATAGGCAGACTATACTGGGGTCCATTACTTTGGACCCTCAGGACGTCAAGGAGCTTGGACTCAAGGCGATTCTCAACTTCGCTAAAAGGGCAAGGCTTGTGATTTAAGTATTGTAGAGGTGCATAAGGGCCCGCTTAAGCGGCCTATGCACTGGCTCCTTATGGTGGCCGGGATGCCTCTAAATTTTAAGATTCATTCATTCATTCATTATAAAATCTTCTTTATGTTGTCAGGAACTAATCATAAAACTTCCATCGATCTAGCGTTACCTTAATTTTGGTTCGAATAGAACAGAACCTAAAATTTAAAAATTCAATTTTCAGTATAATTTGTTAGTTACAGACTCAGAAATACAAATATTATGAAGGTTTTTAAAATACTTTTATCTTTGGTGAAACATGTTTGCGAGACAACTTGTCACAAGTTATGAGCAAAATATGAACGTCAAAAAATCCTATAAAATCTCACCTTGCAGACTAGGTAGTTTTTAGGGTGGAAAGTCATTCCACGTTTGCTCGCTAGGATCGTTGTGTGCGTCCATCTATGGAGGAATGACTCAACTACACGCATTGTTGGTTGCATATCGTCGGCTTTCTCACGAAGTGTCCTAACCAACGGTTACTGAATTTTACAGGAGAGCAAGAAAACGAAATCAGCGTGTTGTTGATTGAGCATTGTACGTAAAGTTTAGATATTTCCGAATTGAAAGTTCAAGTGTGTTAGCCTATATTCATTCTGAATCATATTCCATTTCAATATTTGAGGTAGCTTATCAAGTCATTTTGGAAAAAATTGAAAACGCACGTAGGTCACTTCGTGAGCATTTTCAGATTTTTGTCAGATAGAGCTAACATATATTTTTATTGAAGTTCTTGTTATTATACTTTTTTAAGAATACAGAATTTGTTTCATTTACTTATAAGCAAAGAATCATATTTCCATCCAAGGGGGCGATTATCTCAGAAAATTTGTTGATAGTTTATTTTTTTTAAGTAATGCTTGGTCTGCTGACAGCAGAGTTTATGTAAAAAAGTTCAGATCGACGTTTGAATTTTGGCTACCCCCTAAAATATTTTCCTCAATGTCAATGCCTAAAATTGTTGTAGATTATGACAAAAATATTACGTGATTAGATGAAGAAAACAACTCGAAACGTCAAAGCAATTTTTATTGAAATAAAAACTAAAAGAGAAGCAACTATACAATATTATTATATTTTGACATATTACCAGAAAATGTTGAAATGTTGTGATACATAAAAAAAGGCAAAATTATCAATAATTTATTCCGTTCCATGGGGTAAATTTTTCAAGAGTTTTGGAATTGTGGTAAGCGTACAACTAACTAGCGTTTTTTGGGATTTTACATAACGAAATTAAGTCGGAGTACTACTTTTTTGTTATTTTTAAGTTGTTCTAGTTTAATATCATTTATATTATCACTATTTCTCATCAGTCTTTTTAACTCAATACTGTCATAACTAGTATCGTGGTCGCTAGACCTAAACAATATTTTGGCGGGCGTGTCTTTTATTACAATAAACTCCGTTTAATATTTTGCCCTTCCTCAGTTTGCCGGGTGGACAATATTCTTAAATCTTTTGAAAGTTTCTTGAAGTCAAAAAATTCATTGGGAATTACTAAATAAGGTTGAAGTTTTCTGGCGAATCAAAAAACCGGATACAGTTATGAGGGTTCTCCAACTCCTTTTATCGTAGTATGAATTGCACTGAGAGCAGATTCTCCCTCACTTTGGCCATGATTCCACCACCGAGGAGCGTATACTAACTAGGAGTATTGGACACTAAGGGACTTATCTTCATTTGGGTCTCTTCGTGGGAATCATAAATTTACCTTTGCAGATAAGACACCCAGGGGCTAATGGTGTGTTGCCCACACTAATAGATATATAGTTATGCTTCTTCGTCAGATTAACCAGCATGGAATAACACACCTATGTATATGCGGGTTATCCCAATTTTTGGTATTTTGTCAGTTAAAACACTTCGTGAGAAAGGTGACGATATGTTATGTGAAGCCGAGTAGTCTATAGTTTTCATCTCTGAGAAGAAAGTTGGTTGAATAGCAAGATCGCATCTGGATGATTGTGTGTATCGGTCAGCATGTGTATAGAGTCAGTGATATTTGCTGTGTGAGAAAATCATTACTAAATATGCTGCCAGTGAAGTCCTTTCTGAAGGCAGGTTATGTTCAAAGTTATTAATTACGAAAAACTTTTGACGAGAATTACGGGAAATCACCACCTCGTCGGTGTTGTGTGTAATTACTGTATAGATATATTACATGTATACGTATATGACTTGTAGTGTACTGTGAATATAATTATTTATTATCTCTCTCATTTGTGAAATTCAGCAAATTTGCGTATGTAATTTCCAGAATGGATAAGAAAAAATGGATGCGCAACTAAATTTTAGCTTTGAGCGCATTTGAGGCAAGAATCCAATGAAATTATCAACGACACATATTATTAGCACATGAATCCTGACTATGCACCTATGCATTGCCGTTTCCTTCTTTCTATAGTATACAATAACTTACAACTTAAACCTCCAGTAATGTCATCTCTGAAGCAGATTTTTCATCGCATCTGAGCCAAATATTGATAACTGAAGTCTAACATCTTGTAGAAGAACCTACATAATGTCACAACAAACCAATACAATGTCAAAAAAAAATCGACATTGTCCCTTTTCAAGGTACGTAGTACCCGTGTGGAACTCTAAAATTCCAGACAAATCAGGAAAAAAATCATAACTTCCAAACTTGAAAAAATCATATACATACATGGGGGTGATTCGGAGACCTCATATGATTAATTTTATAATAATCTTTCAGTGTCGAAACGTATGTTAGTCACGAAGGAAACCTGTATTGTAAACCACACTTCAAATCCCTGTTCGCTCCCAAAGTCATCGAAGATGAGGCTCCACGTAAGTATCCTCAAAATTAAATACAGATTGAGGTATGAAGTTACTATTTATTATCTATATTTATATTATGCAACATACTAATTCTCAGCAAGATCCTACAACGATGCCAATAGATGGACATATTATTTATAGTTATTTTATTATTACAACCTGAGAGCAAAGTAAAATAGCCTGTGAATGTCCTAACTTAGCATAAGTTATCATCATAGTCAAATGATAATAGAAATCGGCTATATAGAGGAATTTACAGAATGGACAGTTTCATTTGAAAAACGAAGAGAACAAAAAAAATATTGGTTTAATTAAATTCACTGCATTGAGATAAAGGTTCAAGTTGTTGTTAATCAGTTCCATACAAGTTTCCTATCCTACCCGACCAAGTGGCGTCTTCTAAAACACGCCAGAAGTCATATCGCTAACGACTTCGGGATTAATGTACTAGCACTTCCACTTTTTTATCGCTCGTAATTTGAATAATTACAGTTAACTATGTGACTTCTTAATTGCCTTAGTTCTGTTTAGATCCATTCCTTATGCTAAGAGTGTAAAAACTTGCCAAAATACAACAATGTTTCCGAGAAATGGTATTACCAAAGAAAAGTTATACTAAGAGAATACAGTTAGACATTCCACAAGTTTGCTATTTAGCAACCAAATAAGCAAGATGCGACTAATTTTTATGGTATTATATCCGTACGCGATATGTAACAAACATTTGATTGCCTCCCTACTATAATGCAGATTACTCCCAAGGTCAATGGGTCCGACCGGCGGATTATAAAGGCATTCCACGAAGATGACTACTGTTTGGTTAAGTCGTTGACATACGATGATATGAAGTTTTCTTCTTAAAACTGACCTCAAAATCGCCCCTTTAAGTATTGTTCATTCAATGAGGAAACACCCTGTATGTTATGAATAAGAGATGGCTCCCAGTATCTCATAGGGATTTTTAGTGCGCTGACAGTGCAAATGGAAAAGGCTTATTTCAACTATTCGAAAGTCTCAGTTTACTCCAAGATGGCGCTGCCACTGTATCTGCAAGCTGCCATAACCTAATTTACTGAACTACCTTGTAACTCTGAACCGCCAAATTAGATTTTCCTGCAGAAACTTTATATAGAGGCAGCGCTCTCTGTATTTACGGAAAGTATAATACCGTGATGCTCTAAACTCTAGCGTTGGGGATTATTATCCCCAGGGTATTCATACTAGCTTCTGTATGCTGAGCCCTTTTTCCAATATACTTTACATTATAAATACTACGTGAACTTTTTAAAAAGAAAAACAGAATCTCATCTTATTACCTTATAACAAACAATAGACATGCCTGAAATATGTTTTATTGTCGAATAGTGTTACACACGATCTAGCTATTTGTCATTTATTTTGTTTTTTTGTTATTTCCAATCAATGCCTAGTTCTTAGTTTTTCATGTGCAAACGCAAACTAGTTAATTGTTGATTAACGTATTCTACCTGAAACTAGCCAACTTGATACTATATTTCCGCGTCAAAAAACCGTATCCGACTTGAAATGAGCTACCGTAGCGTCACCTATGACGATTTCTTATATATTTATCCTTTGCTATCTATATGGGACAGCGCCATCTATGAGACACTAACTTCAAAGTATAAATAGTAAATAGAGAGATACCGGTGGCACATTATGGTATCGCTTTTTATCTCGGATATTTTTTTTGACTCGGGAATATAGCATTAGGTGGCCATCTTTAGACAGAATACGTTAATCGATGGTCTTATCTAAAAAATACAATAGACTAATCCCAGCTTTGTTGAAATATGGCGAAAAATAAGCGTTTTTGTTCCATTATGTTGAAGTTTCCAAATATTCGATTTCAGCAAGGCCTCGAAAGCCTGAACTGATAATATGTGAGAATCAACCAGTTGAACTGCCCTCCGACGTTGTGAGAGGTACAAAAATGTGTGTTGTGTCAATGGATATAAAGTTGAAATAACCAGAAGCCTACTAAAATACACTAATTGCTAAAGCCGTATCTGATATCGCTTTCCTAGACCGATTAATATATTTTAACAAGTTGTCGTATCTCTAACATGTAAAATGCGTAACAAATGGTGGCCTAGGATCATATTTTTAGCCGTCGTAATAATATGATTTTTAGTGTTTGCTTTATATAATTTTATTTATGCTTGTTACCTTTGATAGCAGTAAGGAATCGTCTTTTAGATTGATTAATATACTAACATCCACATAATAAACATCACAAATCAAGATGCACCAACACGCTTTAATTTTGGTTTCTAATAAACGTAAGTTTATAATTTCATATTGAAAGTTTGGTGGTCGTAATTCAGTTCAAAGTATAGTTCCACATAAAATTATATTTTACCTTACAAGCAAGGAAAACCAATAATCAGAGTTTTGGAGACTTTTCTTCATAAGTTAATATATTTTTATCTCTATTGAAGATGCTGTATATGATTAAAAGAAACTCAATATCAACGTCTGTCATAAGGAAAAGTCACTGTTATAATTATTACTAGCCTTTACGAGATCACTACCAAACCTATTAGCAAATTGTGTGGTATAAATCGCAAAGTATAGCCAAAATAAGTTCTAAAAAAGTAGTGAATTAGTTTGCATTTTTGTCCCTACTAAATACTTTTCCAATCTCAATTGAAAAAAAACTTTCAGCAAGTGATAAGCCTGACTTGGGTCTAGAGGAGCTGCAAAGCTTGAACGTGAAGGAACGATTTCAAGTATTTGAGCAACACCAGACAGAAGTCCAGGAACAAGACAGGGGACCTACTCCTGTTAATGTGAAAAGATCACAATCGATATTGTCTAAACTTGCCAGGTAAAACACAGCATGTTACTTCTTTGAAAGTTTTCCCTGACCTTTGCCCAGAAGCAGGAATGAGTGTTCCCTTCAAGATTTGAGCACCACTAAATATTACGCCGTATCATAATTGTAGAGGATCATGTTTCTTCATAGCTGTAGCCTGAAATCTTCATAAAAGCATTTAGACCCTTCCCTGCACGTTTGTAACTCATAAAACATAACCAGAACTATGATTATGAACGATGACATACAAGTATGTACGTTTGTAACTCGTAAACATAACCAGAACTATGATTATCAACGATGAAATACAAGTATGTGGACAATTTTCAAAAAGTGTCGATGAACCCTTCCCAGGTTTCAAGCGAAAGGTATGGATGTGGGCGTCCCTGACGATGCCCTTAACGGCATTCCAATAGAAGAAAGCTCGTCAGAAGAGGAGGAAGAAGAGGAGGTGCCTGAGGGAGAAGATCCCACGCTCTACAAGGCGAAGAGAGCGCAAAAAGAGAAACCTTTCCACTTTACCAACATGCACGAAGTTAAGAACAAGTGGGAGCAAGGGGAACAACACTCCAAAGAAGAAAGACGAGAGGAAAGGAAACAGGAGATACAATCTATTAGGAATAAGCTGTTTATGGTGAGTAAACCAGTTCTATCACTTAGATAACAATCCCAAGGTACCCCTGTAACCAACATATTTTCTCCTCTTTGAACTCCTCTATTTTTCTTACTTTATCCCTTAGCTGTCTCTAACCTTGCCAGGTACCGAACAACCAAACCTGACAGACCTCAAGACTTCTAGTATTCCTACCAAGAGTGAAAATCCTACGAACCACTTTGACATACAATACCCTTGTTTAAATTATAATATTGTTTCAGGGTAAGCAAGTTAAGATGAAGGAAGCCTATCAGCAGGCTGTAATGCAATCGGAGTCGTGTGCCAACCTTCACAAACCAGAAGAAAAAATAGAATGTGATACTAAGTCGCTTAAGGAACGCTTTGAGAAAGGAGAATTGTACAGTGAAAAGGAAGATCATAGAAATGGAGATGAAGAGAATGAAGTTTACCAGAGTGGTGAGTAAATCTTTATTTCTTATTGGGAAACTGATGTAATAAGGAAAAAATATTTAGTGTCTCATAAGAATCTATATGTGAAGGATATATCTCAGTAGCAAAACCTCCAATCTCGTTGAATCGACGTAAAACCATATAACCCCCTTAAGCTTTTCTATTAATTGTGACCGAAGTTTTACCCCAACTACTTCGGACACACTATACAGGGTATCCCGAACAAAATATTCCGCAAACTAAGTTTCAAACAATTGTCGTAGGGTTTTGAGGGGGCAGAATGATGGTAACTTTGGCTATGATTTTGATCGCGACTTTTAAAGTCATTTCGAGGTCAAGCGAATATTTTCAAATGGATGTTTCCTTTTTTGACACCGCAAAAAAAAATTACGCACGTGTTCTTGACTATGACTAGCACTATTTCAAGGTCAAATCAAAGCATTGAAAACAATTTGCTCTAGACCACGACTTTCAAGGTCTCGTTAAAATTTTAGACGTTTGTAATTTACTGTTCTCTGCAATTTTAGTATAAACATTAAGATGTTGCCTTACAAATAATGTTTGAGGCTGGCATGACCTTGGCTTTGAGATCAATGTCACATTTGGACATAAGTTTTCTTGCATATTCCAATTCCGGGATATAAATGAGGGGTTCACATTGAAAATTTTGACCTGACCTTCAAGGTCATGCTCAAGGTACCTTTAGGTGACTCCCACAAACATCACTACTGTCCTGTCCAACATTTTTGCCAGAGCAAGTTGCTTTCAGTGCCTTTACTTGAGATTGAAATGGCCTTGAACGTCATGGTCAAGGTCATATTCGGACTTAGAAGAGTGATTCCATTTGATAATATCTGCTAGACGTTGAAATGACCTTTAATATTGTTGTGAATGTGATAGTCAAGGTCCCACCTCGAAACCCTACAAATTTTGTTTGAAAGTTTTTTTATAAGATGGGTAGTATTATAAATATACTCTGTATAATACTTTTTTTTGCAGAGATTAGTAAGAAATCAAGGTCGCTATTCTTAGAACTAGATGCAAATGCTTCAAAGCCCCCACAAATGACGCCCGTAACTCCCCCTAAAGTTGAAGTTAGGAAAGCAAGAGAGGTGAGTTCTTTAATTGACTATATGTGAATTAAAAATATAATTGAATGTTATTTCTATGCATCAGGCTTATTTGACAAAAACTGCCACTGAAGATACGGTAAAATCATCGGAAATCGCCGATGAGGTGATTGAGATGAAAACAGCTGATATTCAGCAACGGTTCAAGTTTTTCGAAACTTATAAGGAACCAGAAAAAGAGAAAAAACAGTTTAGAATAACTCCGCCCAGAGATGCGTCGCAAGTTAAGGTTAATGATTGTTTGTTTGATTGTTGACTAACTTGTTTGCTTGCTATTAAATGGAACTACTCTTCTCACCTTACAAATGATAAATATGCATTTTCTTGTTTTTATAATAAATATGTCCAAAACATGTGATGCGTTTTGCGTTACTCGACAAATGTCATAGCTGTTAAATGTATTAAACAAAATGAAAGGCGTACGTGGCGTATGTTTTGCTGTTTGTTTTGTACTTGATATCCTCGGACTATTCTGCGCTGCTACTTTCATAAAAGTATGTATGCCTATTTGCATTCTTACTAATTTTGTTGATACAAATTTGCATAACCAAAGACGCTTACTATTTTCCGGTTGTTTGTTATTTTTTTTCTTTTGAATTGTCATGATATATGACTAAACCGTTATCTTTATCAATAGAGTGATACTCCCGAACGAGAGATCTACCATGATCCAGATATAGTCAGGGCAGAAGATTATGTAGATGATTCAGTTATAGCAAAAACCACGCACACAGCCTCAAAGATGCTCAACAAATTCAGACAGATGGAGGAGAATCTGACCAAGGAACCTGAACCTGCCGGTATGTGATTTGTTAAAATAAAATTATAGCAAAAAGATTAAAGGATGTTCATTGTTTACCGTAATCCCATTAAAAATACCGAAGAGTAGCTTTTGTCCCGCGCTTTTACCCGTGGAACATGTAGGTGGCGCCAGTAGTAAAATAACCAAATATCCTAGGCATGAAAGTTGTCTTTCAATTTAACTAATGCTATTAAAGATACAAAACGTGATCGGAAGCTTTTAATACTAAAAACAGTATTTAATATTGATAACAATGTCAAGAGTACGAAGTCACGAGTAACAGCTAGTGCAAAATAAAACGTGTGTAATACTTGACGGTCACAGGTTGAGTGGGCATTGGTAGGCCGCACTATTGCCGTCTTGACGCTGACGGTGGAGATTTTGGAATTTGCCGCGACAGTTGATTACATAATCAACCATGAAATCGCGGACAAAACCACGCCTATAATATTCTTCGGGTATAAATTAGTACGGTTACAAACTTTGACGTCTGTCCGTATTGTGGTTCAGTTGTGATGCTGAGAGGCAGGAGAGACATTTACATTTGTATATAGAATATTGTGTCCCTACCCGTCATTGCTTATCAAAGTGGTTTGCTCTTGGTTAAACTTTTGTAGGTATCAGGTCAAGTCGAGAAAATATGAAAATTTGCGATTATATATTCCTGAAAATTGTATCGCTTTAAGTTCAACATGGTGTTAGGTATGTTAAATGCATGCTAGATAGTGCTGCCGTACTTAGGTAAAAGGCAGTAAAGTGTAAAAATAGAAGTCTGAGAAAATTGGGTTTAAAATTCTGGATTATTTCAAAATAAATAAATAGCAATACGATACAACATAATTTACATTACTTTATAGCCATTTAAATATATTTTCGGGCCATAATTGTTGTCAAGGCCTAAAATAAATGACACTCCGTGTTTAACTGCCGTATATCAAAAAGCAGTAACATGTTTACTGTCTTTTTCAAAGGACAAACCGTGTAATGCAGAATTTCATTTTAATATAATTTATTCGTATCGAAATTCACATAAATGACACAAAAGTAAATCTTTTTAACATCTAATAATTCAATTTAATAATCATATAATTACATTTAATGAAGTTGAAGAAAAATAATTTTATAAACTAGAAACAGCAGGTTTTTGTATATGTTAAGTTAAACGAAGAATATGTGTTTTTCAAAATTATTCTTTAGGAACAAAAATAAGTATTTATAACGATAAATACTTAATCACAAAATAATAGAATTGTTATATAGAAAAACTAAACAAGTAAACCCCATAATATACTAAGTGGCATATAAATCCGAACACCCAGTTTAAGTGGTTTTATTTTAATAAAATTTTGTATAAGTACTTAATGAAGCATAATAAGTAAATGATAAAAATTTCAAAATGATTGCACTGCTTTAAAGCCCTTTGACCTTTAATAATGTGTGGATGCACCCTGATGTTGCTACGCATTCTCCAACGCGCCTAGGCATGCTTCTGATCAGGTGGTCAATGTCCTCCTGTGGAATCTCATTCCAGGCAACCACCAACTCCTCTCGACGTGCTTCTAGAGTCTGAGGAGGACGCTGCAAATTGAGCAATCTCCTACCCATCATATCCCGCACGTGCTCAATTGGGGATAAGTCGGGAGATCTTGGTGGCCATGGTAACAATGTGACATCATTATGTTGAAAGAAGTCTGAAAGTGACTCTTGCAACATGTGGTCGGGCATTATCTTGTTGGAAAGTTGGATCTGCCAGGGTGTCAAGATAGGGTAAAAGATGGGGTTCTAGAACTTCGTGGATATAACGCTGCGCGTTCATGTTACCTCTGATGTAGATTAAAGGTGACCTGGAACCATAAGCTATAGCACCCCAAACCATAACTCCAACAGTGTGATGAACATGTATTTCAACAAAAAACTGTGGATTCCTCCTTTCACCACGTCGCCTTCTAACCCTGGCACGACCATCGTGCATGCCTAAACAAAATCGAGACTCGTCACTAAAGACAATACTGTTCCATTCCTGATCCCAGAGTGACCGTTGTCTGTCCAACTCAAGGTGATTACGTCGGTGTTCTCGAGTTAAAGGGAGGACCTAGTGTGGCCGTCATGAAAACAAGCCAAAACTTCTCATTCGTCGGTAAACACTTCGCATGCCAATAGGTCTTCCGTGTTCTGCAAACCATTCATTTGCAATGGACCTGGTAGTGGAGAAAAGGTCCCTTAAGGCCAATAATCTTAGGCGGCGATCTTCACGGTCTGTTGTTCTACGGCGGCGTCCAGTGCCCCTTGCTCTTTGCGTACGGCCTTCTCGAAGCCATGCCTGACAACACCTAACCACAGTGTCTACACTTCTTTGCACTCTAACTGCAATTGCCCGAAAAGAAAGTCCAGCTTCCCGAAGTCCCACTATACGGCCCCTATCAAACTCACTAAGTTGACGAAATCGTACAGGACTCCGTAATCTAGACATCGTAACCGATCGTAAAGGATGTCAAGAACCAAAATCCGCCAACGTTGATTCTTTACTGCGGATGAAATATTCATTTTTAGAGCGTTAGTGAATTAAAAAAAAGCAGTATAAAAACCGGAATGTCCAACTGATAAGGCTGAAAATTTATTCACTGGTTATTTACAGTAAGATAAATACATTCACCAACTTTAATTAAAATAAAACCATTTAAACTGGGTGTTCGGATTTATATGTCACTTAGTATATGTTTAGTTAAGGGTGAACAGGCAGTACTTGTATCTTACAGAGAATAAAAGCAGTATAGTTTCAAAATTACTGATTTTTTACTTTGATAAATTCAGTAAAAAATATTTATATATTTCTGTTGAATAACGTGATTAATGATGTATTTTGTAATTTTAATCATAAATTGTATTTGCGTCAAAATTTAAAAAATGCAGTAAATGAACTTTATTGCCTTCCACACAAGTACGGCAGAGTAGAAAGTTCTAGCTAAGAAAATGTTTTACCTATGCATTGTTTAGGCCCGAAACCATTGAAGAGGTTCACTCCACCCCCAGAACCGGCCAGGCCAGAATCAGATAGTGGAGAAGAAGAGTCGGAGGAGGAAGAGGAAGATGAGATCGATAACCAAAAATTACCTCAAGACTTAGTTGAAGTGTGTATACATTCTTTGGTATATTAGATGTAAGAAAAGTAAAGAACCATCCTTGATGGCAAGCAATACTCATGTCTCTCAAGTGCAAATATTTTGAAATATGATTCATCATAACTCAATTCTTATTTTGATCTATGTCTCACTGTTGTTGGTGATGTAAAAAAATAATGTAGAATATGGTCAACTTCTGTATCTCCTTCCAATTCCATCTAAGATTTTTTAAGTAGGCTAACTATTATTCTTAACTATGATTTAACTTCAACTTTGACTATTAGTTTGAAGTCGATGTATCACTCAAAGTCTAAGATGGAAGTTCTTTTTTGCGTCATAGTCACAATAGGCATTGTTTGCTGTGCATTTGTATTGTACCATTTTTATTTTTTTATAGGCGCAAAAAGCCGCTAGAGCCAAGCAACTAACAGCAAAATTCGAGAAATGGGAAGCCCAGGAGATCAAGAGGGAACAAACGCACGCTGTCAATATTGTGGAGGAATATGGCGAAGAATCGCAAATCGAGTCAACAAGATCGTAAGTATTGATTTAATTATTAAAGAAAAAACGGCCTGCCAATAAAACTGTTACCAGTTTGCATTTCAAAAACTAAAAATAGATGTTTCTCGTGAAAAATTCATTCGAACTTCAAATCACCTTGTAGTGCATAGTCAGTGTCACGTTTAAGGTCACCATTAGATGAACCTCGTCAAACCTTACAACTTAATCACACAACACTTTTCTTTATGGAACGTATTTTTCGAGATTCTTTGACCTTGGTTTACTTACTCTGTGCATGCTCAAATACCTACGATCATGGGCATGGAGAAACGTTAACATATCTTCCGCTCTTTACACTTTCGGTATAAAATATAATTTAATTTTTAAATTGCTTTGACCTTCAAATGACCTAGACTGTGGCAAATTGAAAACAATCAGTGGTGGCGATAGACCACATATGGTCGTCAGCGACATCAGCTTTGCCAAGCCCCTTCGATTTCCCAGTTGAAACAAAACGTTAAATTGAATGAGCTGAGTTATAAACAGTAGCGGACAAAAGTTTGCAAACATTCTAAGAAGTTTTTAAAAAGTGCGCTAATTTTTTATTCTTTATTATTAAGGACTATTTTTTTCTCATATAGTTTGCTTACAGTCTTGAGCATAAAAATGGCAATTTGTGTTTGTTGCGGTACTACAGACTAGCATTAAAATACCTTCATATTATTTTATGGCCAAAAATGAGTGGACAAAGTATGGGAACATATTTTTTATTACAAAATTAAATACAATGACACTACAAAACAAAATACCGCTTAGCTAATGTTTGGTAGCAGAACTTTTAGCATTCAACACTGCCTGACATCTGTTGCTCATAGAAGACAACAGTTTTTACTGACGTTTGTTGGGATATTTTGTCGAATATTTTTTTATATAATTTTGATTCGTTGAATCGTTCCTATTTTTAAAAGTTCTTCTTGTCAGTTGTCTTGTAACATGCTCCTAAAGATGTTCTATAGGGCTTAGGTCCGGGGATTGCGAAGGCCTTGTAAGAACATTAACATTTTTTAGTCTTAACCACTGCTTTACGAATTTTGAGGTTTACTTGGGGTCATTATCTTGCTGGAATGTCCATCGTAAAGGCATTTCTTCTTCAGCAAAAGGAAGCATGTGTTGACTAAGAATAACTTAGTAATGTTTTTGATCCATTTTCCCAACAATTTGAACAGTTGGACCCGTTCCAGAACTAGAAAAACAGCACCAAACCATGATGTTGTTTTTTAGAGTTCTAGAAACAAAGCATATCATATCCACGCCCTCAGTTCAATGTAGGTGGGTTTGATCTAAGAGAACTTCTTTTAGTGTTTTTGCAAATTCATTAAACTTTATTTTGTGGTTTCTGGTTATGTTTGATTTTTTTTGTATGTTTGGACGGTTTTGTATTTGTAGTTTGAACAGTGAAGAAACTAAATGTTGGGTCGAACGAGGGGCAGTCCGCAAAATAGAAAACTGAATGTTGATGGTAGACACTAGTCACAAACTCTTCTGTTCTACACAAAGTTATCGTTGATAACCACATAATTATCCACACAACGGAATTGATCTTTACAGTCGCTGGTCAAAAGCTCCCTAACTATTAGCTCATTAAGCTCTACAAAACAAAAACAAAAAACATCGATTTATGTTTATGTTTGTCTCTACGATGTTTGCATAACTATACAGAAGAAATTGTTGACTCGGGGATTCTCCGAGTGTAGCGCGCGGTAGTTTTTTCAAGTTGGAGGCTCTGGATTTCGTTTATTTTGAACCTAGGATTGCCCAATGGCCAAAAATACGATATTTTTGTGACTTTCTTGCGAGGCCCCCTCCGGCGTCAGACCGTCGGCAATCGCCGACGCCTAACGTCACCACTGATAACAATCAATTTCCAACAGGAACAGCAATTATTATGAATTTTGCATATAATAATTTTTACTTTTCCAGATTACGACAACGTTTTGAACAAATGAGAGAAACTTCTTCAGACAAAACCAGGAAACCTCTAGTGAAAGTCAACCGATTTGTGGTAAGCTTTCTTGTTTTTTTTTTCAATTTTCGTTTTGTTTTTCAATTAACACTTATTTATAAACATTGTGTTTTTGTTGGTGTAGCATTTTATTGATTGTTTTGTTTGTTTCACAATATTTAATGCATGAGATATAATTTATATTGATAGGAAGTTTGGCTGAACGATTGACAAAAATTTTTTCTTTTCAGTGAATGAACTAAACGCAAGGATCGTCCAAATAACTTTCATTTTGATGTACACTACAGACTTTACAATTTACTAATAAAATCTTTTTACTAGCTTTTTTGTCTACCTTGATATTATAAGAAAACAAAATAAGTAGGTCCAAATGATTGTTAATAATTTAATATACAGGGTGATCACTTTTCAAATCTCGATGTGTACATGTCCTTCACCGTGATATGCTCTGTATAGATTTTTATAAATGTTTTATTGAGTTTTCTATATATTTTTGCTTGTTTAACAAAGTTATATTGAGATTATCACTTTATTGTACTTTTTATGTTGCGATCTTGTTTGTTATATACATTTTAGAAAAATTTAGCTATCTGAATGTTATCTGTGAAATAAGCCAAAAAAAAGAAATAAAAAAGATTTGTGAACTTCTTATGGAAACGAAATAATCTTCCCTAGGTTAAATTTACTATTTTTAGAGATTTTAAATTATGTACTGTTTAATATTTGTGCCAATTTATATTACTTTGAATGAATAAATTCGATTTTAATGTGGAAGGTAGTTTTATTCGTCAATGAAATGCTAACATCAACAAAGAGACAAGTAAAATAATGTTCCAATATTCAATTGTTAAATATCCTGAAGGAGATCCCGCCAATCACTGAGGCGTGTGAGAGCTGCGGAAGAAAAGTATATCCATTGGAGAAGATATCCGTGCATGGTCATATTTACCATAAGGGTTGCTTCAAATGCATGGAGTGTGCTTGTGTACTTAGGTGAGTTATAAAAAAGGATAAGGACTGCTTATTGTGTTGCCATTTCTGATTTGTTTCAAATCGGGAAAGAAGGAAAAACAACTCGAGATTTGTTTACGATATTTCAGTTAACCGTATCAGCAACAACGGATATCTTTAGTAAAAAACAACTTGACAGAGAGGAAAAATTGGCGCCGGTGATATACAGTCACGTAATTCCCGAAGATATGCTTATCAGGGTAAAAACTGGATCCACTGGCAAAAGGGTATCTGCCGACACTACGTGGGTAACTGTCGCGCTCCTTGTTTCTGTAGACCAAATTGCGCTAGTTTGAAAAACTACCATTTCTTGTTTTGCTAGCCATGATCAAAGTCAAGTAGCGAAATTGAAATTTGAATTGCGTCAGGAACCACTAAAACTTCTTTATTAACTTAAGACTGTGTTTTTTCTACGTTGTAACTAATTGTTCTTATAATAAAGGAAATCTTTGATAGTTTAGTAAGCAGTTGGGTAAAATTTATGATCAATGTTCAGTCCTAAGAAGCTGATGGTGTCTGTTTTGTGTATCAAATCATTTTTTTAAATTATAGAATTGATGGAGCGTTTAAATATCAAATTTGGTCTTATTAGTATTGAATGTTAAGCAGTTGTTATGACGCCATTTTTTGATTGACTGTATATCACTGTTCATGTTTGACCTAACTGCATCGATATATTAGCAAATTTGCTTGAAATAATTGTAAAGTCTGGTTTTATTGGTGCAAGTTGTTCAAGGGGGTATTTAAAACATGGACGCAGCAGCGGTGGCCGCAGTAGTAGACTCTTCGGTCTCCTGATCAGTCGCCGTGCGCTGTGCGGGTTCGAGTCCCGTCCCAGGAGAAATTTTTCTCTTGGCTATGGATGTTGTGATTGTCCGTAGGTGGTAGATGGTCTCTGACTGTCGAACGTGGAGGTACCACCCGGCGGATCTCGTAGGCGGAGCCAGAATGTGTGCATGTTGCATGCACACGCGTTCCCTCGCCAGAGTCCGTGTGGCGTTCCCCCTTTCCCCTGTATCCCCCTATAGCCCCACGGTACCCAATGGGTGTTTAGGCCTTAGGCCTTCGTGGCAGTTGGAGTATAAAAAAAAACGCATAAGATGGGTACACCAATTTTTTTGGGAAAACGTGCTTTTTTGGGATTCAATCAAAAGTGTTGGCAGGAACGAACAAACTTCTCATGCAAGATTTTTAAGTATTTATGAGACCTACAAAATGTTATGGCCGAAAAACGAGGCAAAATACAAGTTTTGGCACTTCTTGAAATTGTTCAAATCCGTAGTATTCATACTTCTAAATGACAACAACAAAATTGGAGTATATTGGTATAGTAGTTTTTGGAGAATTTCTAATTGCTTATCTTAAAACACCTGTACCATGACTACTAGTTTATTGAGCGATATACAGGGTTCGTTCAAAGAGTATTTAATAGCAAAATACACGAGTTTACCTTGCCGATATGAACCACAGACCATTCCCAAAGATAAATGTTATTTTTATGCGAAAAACAAAGGTTACGTTTTTTCCTTCTACACAAATTCAAACATTCCGTATTTGTGAGTAATTGAACAAATGCGCTACGATATTCGAAAAACATAAGTTACTATACACATTTTAAAACAAAGCGGATGTGGTTATATTATCTTTTGTTGCGAATTAGTCACAAATACGAAATGTTTGAATTTGTTTAGAAGAAAAAACGTAACGCATCATTTTTTGCATAAAAATAACATTTATCTTCCGGAATGGTTTGCGATTCATATCGGCAAGGTGAACTAGTGTATTTTGCTCAATAAACTAGTAGTGAGGGCCGGAAAACAGGTGTTTTGGGACAAACAATTAGAAGTTCCCAAAAACTATACTAAGTGACATATAAATCCGAACACTCAGTTTAAATGGTTTTATTTTGATAAAATTTTGTATAAGTACTTAATGAAGGATAATAAGTAAATGATAAAAATTTCAAAATGATTGCACTGCTTTAAAGCCCTTTGACCTTTAATATGTGGATGTACCCTGATGTGCTACGCATTCTCCAACGCGCCTAGGCATGCTTCTGACCAGGTGGTCAATGTCCTCCTGTGGTATCTCATTCCAGGCAACCACCAACTCCTCTCGAAGTGCTTCTAGAGTCTGAGGAGGACGTTGCAAATTGAGCAATCTCCTACCCATCATATCCCACACGTGCTCAATTGGGGATAAGTCGGGAGATCTTGGTGGCCATGGTAACAATGTGACATCATTATGTTGAAAGAAGTCTATTGTGACTCTTGTAACATGTGGTCGGCCATTATCTTGTTGGAAAGTTGGATCTGCCAGGGTGTCAAGATAGGGTAAAAGATGGGGTTCTAGAACTTCGTGGATATAACGCTGCGCGTTCATGTTACCTCAGATGAAGATTAAAGGTAACCTGGAACCATAAGCTATAGCACCCCAAACCATAACTCCAACAGTGTGATGAACATGTCTTTCAACAAAAAACTGTGGATTCCTCCTTTCACCACGTCGCCTTCTAACCCTGGCACGACCATCGTGCATGCCTAAACAAAATCGAGACTCGTCACTAAAGACAATACTGTTCCATTCCTGATCCCAGAGTGACCGTTGTCTGTCCAACTCAAGGTGATTACGTCGGTGTTCTCGAGTTAAAGGGAGGACCTAGTGTGGCCGTCATGAAAACAAGCCAAAACTTCTCATTCGTCGGTAAACACTTCGCATGCCAATAGGTCTTCCGTGTTCTGCAAACCATTCATTTGCAATGGACCTGGTAGTGGAGAAAAGGTCCCTTAAGGCCAATAATCTTAGGCGGCGATCTTCACGGTCTGTTGTTCTACGGCGGCGTCCAGTGCCCCTTGCTCTTTGCGTACGGCCTTCTCGAAGCCATGCCTGTCAACACCTAACCACAGTGTCTACACTTCTTTGCACTCTAACTGCAATTGCCCGAAAAGAAAGTCCAGCTTCCCGAAGTCCCACTATACGGCCCCTATCAAACTCACTAAGTTGACGAAATCGTACAGGTCTCCGTACTCTAGGCATCGTAACCGTAAAGGATGTCAAGAACCAAAATCCGCCAACGTTGATTATTTACTGCGGCTGAAATATTCATTTTTAGAGCGTTAGTGGATTAAAAAAAAGCAGTATAAAAACCGGAATGTCCAACTGATAAGGCTGAAAATTACATACATTCACCAACTTTTATTAAAATAAAACCATTTAAACTGGGTGTTCGGATTTATATGTCACTTAGTCTACTTTGCCAATCTACTCCAATTTTGTTGTGGTTATTTAGAAGTACGAAATCTACGAATCTAAAGAATTTCAAATATCTGCGAGAAACGATTGTCGCATTCTTCTAACTTTTTTTGCTATTAGTCGGATGTTTTTTCGCGTGGTCTCATTTTGTAGGTCTCATAAATACTTAAAAATCTTATATGACGAGTTTTTCCGTTCCTGTCAACACTTTCGATTGAATCCCAAAAAACACGTGGTCTCATTCCTTGTTGAATAAAAAGTTTTCCCACAAAAACTGGTGTACCCATTTTATGCGTCCATGTTTTGAATACCCCCTTGAACGACTTGCAGTAATAGAACCAGACTTTACAATTATTTTATTAAATCGTTAATACAAACTAAAGATAGGATCGGACCTAGTAGTGATCCTTGAGATTCCCCAGTTTCTATATTTAATTTATTTGTTGATACTTTGCGCAATGCTGGGCGACATTTGATGGAGTTTGGAGTTATATCAAAATGTACAGGATTCATATTTTTAGAACTCTTGTCAAACAGCTTTGAGACTATTTACATAGAAGGCACACTAAGTACGAATTTATGCACACGTCTTGTGTCGCGCGACAATGTCACTCGATACTTGTTAAGGAATGGTTCTTCTTTTTTAAACCTATTGTTGAACGTTGTCACTCATCACAGGTTGCGTGCATAAATGCTCGCTAAGAATCGTCCCTGGCATGTCGTCGGTTTTGGCGGCGTCATCAAATTGACGCCTCATCAGCTGCCTCATATTACAAAAGGTTAGGTTGACAACGGTTGGTGGGAACGTCACCATGGCGTCTACGGCACCAAAATTGGGCGCTTCGACTGCTATAGTACCTTGAATGCGCCCTATTCCAGCGGCAACAATAAATGAACTGTGTCACCTGAAGGACTTTTATTTTACTATATTTTTGACAACTCATTTATTGTTTAATTTAGAACAGTATGGAAAATTTCATAGATTGTTTGAAAATATAGAAACATTTTTCAGAATGGATTCCTATTCATACAATCAGGGCCTGCTGTACTGTACCCCTCACTTCAAAAGGCTATTTATCACAAAAGGAAATTATGATTCCGCTTTCGGATTAAACCAGCACAAAGAAAAATGGAACATGAAGGCAACTGTGGCATGAGTTAGCTGACCTTTCTTATATTGTGATATTCTTATTCATTTTAATGTGTTTGCCAATTTAATTGTATCACGTCAATAATACATATTCGTACTTAAATTATTCTAAGAATAAACGTAGTTTTTTTTATATTTACTATGCATGTGCGTATGTCGTATTTCCATATTTACTCTACATATATTTTTGTATATTACCATTTATGTGATTTATAATAAATCTAGTGAAAATTGTTCTTTTGTTTTTGTGACATGCTTTGATATAATCCTTTATTGGAGGACGAGAAATTTCTGTTTGTAAATTGAAAAAGGTTTCATTCTTAGAGATGGCGTGTCATGACCTAGCTATCACATGCGCCACAAAATTTAACTAGGCTAATATAACCTTGAAAAGCGGTAGGTCGGGGTGTGGGTGGTTTAAGTAGCAATTCATTTCTCATATTCAAGAAACTAAATTATCGTGAGGGGGGGGCTAAAAGCCCCCCCATTTTTGTCCTGAAATATTCTTTTGCTGGAATTTCTGCATTATATTATACATCAATGTTACGTAAGTTTAATCTGTTTGTTTGAAAAAACAAACATTCACCCCCTTACAAAATTGAGGTTTACTAAACTTCCCAGGTAGTCTATGAAAGCTGCGAGTTATGTGGTTGGACTGATCATGTGGCGCCATATATGGGACAGTAGCTGAACTAAAAAATTATACTATTTCCGTAAAACTCACTTCAATTTTCTGGAACTGATCTTGCACCACTACTGTTTTTCGTATTAAAGTATTTCCTTCCTCATCCTCTGTTTAAAAATTTAAAAAGTTTCAGTTCTGCTTCCGTCTCAGAGATGGCGTGGCAAAATCTAGCTATCACATCCGCCACAAAATTTAACTAGGCTAAAATAACCTTGGAGGGGCGGTTGGTCTGGGTGGTTCAAATAGCAATTCGTCTCCCAAAATCAAGAAACTAAATGGTCGTGAGGGGGGCTAAAATCCCCCCCATGTATTGTCATGAAATATTATTTTGCTGGAATATTCTCCATTATATTATAATTAAACATCAATGTTACGTAGCTTATCTGTTTGTTTGAACAAACAAACATTCCCCCCTTAGAAAATCGAGGTTTACTAAACTTTCGCAGAACCAGCCAGGTAGTCTATGAAATCTGTGAGTTATGTGGCTGGACTGATTATGTGGCGCCATAAATGGGACAGTAGCTGAACTAAACAATTATACTATTTCCGTAAAAATCAACTTCAATTTTCTGGAACTGATCTTGCACCATTACTGTTTTTTGTATGAAGGTATTTCCTTCCTCATTTTCTAGAAATCTGTTTGAAAACTTAAACAGTTTTAGTTCTGCTTTCGTCTCAGAGATGGCGTGTCAAAACCTAGCTATCACATGCACCACAAAATTTAACTAGGCTAACCTTGGAGGTTGGTTGGGGTTTGGGTGGTTGAAGTAGCAAAATCAAGAAACTAAATGGTCGTGAGGGGGGCCAAAATCCCCCCATTTTCTTCATGAAATATTCTTTTGTTGGAATTTCTGCATTGTATGCAGCGATGTTACGTAGTTTATTTGTTTGTTGGGAAAAAACAAACATTCCCCCTCCTAGAAAATCGAGGTTTACTAAACTTTCGTAGAACCATCCCAGGTAGTCTATGAAATCTGTAAGGCGTGTAATTAGATTACTTATATGACGCCATCTGTTGGGCGATAGCTGAACTCAAAACTACTTCTATTAGATCTTAGTTTTTTGAGCTAGTTTACTAAGGGTGGACAAAAATGTGACCGAGACGATCACAAAAAAGGTTTGTAGCACTTTGATAAGAAAGGTGGACGAATAATACAAAATGTTATATAATCAATATATTTATTTGTAAATAGTCATATTTTCATATTTATATATTTACATCTCGTATTTCAAAAAATATATTAAAAGCTTATTACCTTAAAGCAATGAAGACAATATATGTATAAACTAATGAAGTAATGTCATACAATAAATAAAAGGAAACCTTTAACCGTACAATATACAACGATATATTGAGCAAAGGTATCGTGAACATTTTTACCGAATTAAAGGCAAAGGTACTAAGTTGTCTTTTACACCGTTTCCTAGACTAATCTTCGCTCTTGGTTACCCTTGGGTACAACTGAAACAACAAAAGAAAGTCAGTATGATATAAATGACAATCAACTTAACTTTGAATTTAAAAGTTTTGCATGTTACGGCTAAACCTGCCGATCCGCGCGAAACCAATGCTGAAAGGTGAGACTAGTGACATAGCCCTCATGTGAAGTTAATTTGTCTCCCTTTTGAGGTGTTTTGCCAAAGAGAGCTTTCAAAATACAGACAGTTACTGTCACATTGAAATATTCAAATTTAATTTAGTATGTTGAGTAATCACAGCATGTTGATAATCTAAACGTTTCTCTGGCCGAATCAAACCACGTATATTTAAAATTTGTCTTTATTGTACGACGTTTCAGTCCCAACGGTGAGCTTATTCAAGTGCAATTGACACTTTCACAAGTGTTTAACTCGGCTCGAGTAACATGTGGTGGATTATCAACATGAAAACCACAGGATAAGGTTCAAATGTTACAATAAGAGCATGTGTGCATTTTCGCGCCTTTTTAAATTTGGATTGGAGTATTCACAGTAACAGAAGCGGATATTCTGCATGGATGCTTTGTTACTAGTCTAGCGACACCGGTCTCGCGCGGAATGTTTATAGTAGGAATGAGTTGTCAGAACGTTAATAACAGTAATTAATTCAACATCTGTGGTTTTACAGATTGATCAGGACCATATGGAGATGGACATGTTGCGCAGCAACATTTGTGAGTACTTTTGTGCTTACCCCGAGCAGATTCCTAGGCACATAGCCTTCTTTGTCATCCAGCTTGGACCACCACCATTCTCTTTCATTCTCGTCACCTTTCCTCAATACGGTCAACTGTTGACCTTCCTTGAAACTGAGTTCATCTGGCTGCTGAGCCGTGTAGTCGAAGACTGCATACACCACTCCACCAGATAAAATTCCCAGCTTTTCTTGCACACCTACAAATAAGCACCAGGACTTTAGGCTGAGGTCACAAAATGGAAGTGGTAGGCTTAGCGGACAGACAGAGTTAAGCTATAAAGGCTACGATAATATTCACCGAACAAACGTTCACTTATGCGTCCAGGAAGGGTAGTATACATGACTTTGTACTTTGAGCGTCATCTAAAGAAAGCGATCCCTACTAAATGTATTAAAAATGCATATCAGTATGACTAAAATATCAAGAGAATCATTGGTAATTGTAAATACAAGTGTCAAAAAATACCAGGACAACTGTTGTTTTCAAAAACAGGAATGTCAAGCTGCAGTTGCTTTCTACTATGTGTTACAGAGGTGAAACAGTATCAGGCACGACTTTTTATAAAAGAAAGTAAGATAATAAAAAATATATATTATTATTTCGTGCATGAAAGAAATGTGTGCAACGGTGGGACATCGTAGTTTCATAACGCTAAAAAATATTTTTTTAATTCTCCATTGCTATGGGATAGAGACTGTTTCATAGTTTGCTATGAGGGCTGACTCAACAGCAGAAGGAGCAGACGAAGGAGCCCGAGAAGTGGCCGTCACGAACTGCTGCGGTTGGAAGTGATAGCATGGTAACGTCCGACACTGGAAGAAAGCGTTGGATATTATCCATAGTAAAATTTTTTACGTAACGATAACTTTTGGAATTTTGAGCTGAAGTTGTTTGTCGCTTTTGAGATTCTCATATCAAGCGCTAATATAACTACATTTCCGTTGATTTATAAATTTCAGAATAATGGCAAAAAAACTTCTGTTCAAAATTCTGAAGTAGTTTCAAGCAATAAGATTATGGAAACGTAATGTATGAAGACGTCTTACTAATATAAGAGTGTGCGAGGGTTGGGAAATTATAGCTTATGGTAACACAGTTGGGATAACTTTCTTCAGATGGTACTGGTGGACCTAGAGATAGTAGTAAAGTGAGTATAATCTGTAGTCTATCAATAATATGTGAGCGTTTGTTTTCCTTAAGTAATAATCCTGGATATATTTGATTTATATTAGATTTACTGTAATTAGAGTGATATAAGAGGTAATTGGACGAATCATCGAATCTTTTATAAGGATACTGTGAAATATGATACTATAATTCACCTAACGATATGTAGAACAAACCTTAGGCTGAAATCTCTACAATTAAGACCCTGAATAATTCAATATGAGCGAAAACTTACAATTTCAGCTGACGATTTTTTAAGTGATATATGAACCAAAAGTTCCATTATTTTCTAAGTAGCTTATTTCATCTCCTAAGGTGGCCCCTTGATATCTGGGTATCCCACATCGGCATTTAACGTGTTATCCTATCACTAAGCTTATCACCTGTAGTGTGGCCTTGGCCTTAAGTTGCACGCTCACTGACGAAGCGAAGTGAGGCGAACTACGGTGACATCAGTCATTTGCACTCGTCAGACATCGCTTTCCTTGGCGTCGCTCCAGTGCGCAGCTCTCATTTGATAATGAGTAAAGAGTTTTGCTTCTCCTTAAGATGCGTGCACGTTTACAGATCGGAATATAGTTATCGCTGATCCAAGAAGCCTCAAGCAGGGCCATTCCAAATGATCTGGATTTGGGATCTTCTTTGGTTATGGATAAGGAAAAAATATTCCGTGGTACTCACTATAGAGGTACTCCGAGCACCCATCAAAACCTTCTTCGTCTTCTTCACACTTCTCAGCTGCCGTTTCCCTGTCACTTAGCGTGGTGGCAAAGATGCAGGCGCCATGTTCGACAAGAAATTTCACCATGGCCAGATTGTTGCAAGAGGCAGCACAGTGAAGGGGCGTCCAACCATCGCTGTCCTGGGCGTTCACGTCACATCCCCACTCGACCAGGAACCGGACAATGTCCAAGTGGCCGGCACAGATTGCGTTGTGGAGAGCCGTTATGCCTAGAAAATGAGGCAGCGTTTAATTTTAGTTTTTTACTGCCCACGCTACTGACGAGGAAGTACTGGATTCGCGAAAAATTCAAAAACGAGATATATTTTATTGGATGTTATACGAAATGTACTATACCGGGTGTCCGGTAAATAGTACGATAAAAAAATAGGGACGATAGGCGAAGGGCAGATCTGCAACATACCAAAAAATGACCCTAGTAAACATTTCACTGTTTTTGAGATCATTTGTTGCTGTACCTACAGTACCTAGAAACAACAGGATATCTGTTAGTTTTCCTTTGAAAAATATTCTCAGATAGTTGGTCTGCCATTTGAAAGACCTTTTTCGATAAATACAATTAGGTAAATGTAACAAACAAATTTCTACTTCGTAATTTTTATTTTAGGAAACTATTTTACTCAACTTTGGTATTGGGCAATGAAATAAAAATGTATTAGACTGCTACTCTAAAGTCGTGCGATAAATTACCTGCTTAATCAGCAACAAAACATAGATAAAACGAGGAAGTTTTTGGAAAAAGACAACAAAAACTAATGTTTCAAAAACAGTGAAACTTTTACTAGTCATTTTTTGGTATGTTGTAGATCTGCCTTTCGCCTATCTTCCCCATTTTATTGTCGTACTATTTACCCGACTGAGGGATAAACTTGAAAACAAACCGGCGTTGACTGTTGTCTTATTTGACACCCATCAGTACTGCTCTAGCCTACATACAGCTTGCAAGATAATAGTGAGTTTGTATTTTTAATAGAAATAAGAAGCAACACCTAAAATTATGCAATAATATACTAAATGACATAGAAAACGCAACACCGGCTAGGAGAGCTGTAATTTTGACCATAAATTTACAACTTTTAGTTCTACTAATAAATAGAAAGTGATTAAAATTTTAACTCAAAATTTCACAAAATAGCTGAGATATTCCAGCTTAATGTTAATAATGTGTTGAAGCTCCTCCGTTCGTTACAAATTCGTTAAGGCGTCACGGCATTGATTGGATTAGGTGATTGATGTCTTCTTGGTATATTGTAACCCAGGCCATCTGAATTTGGTTTCGTAGAGCCCTCAATGTTTGTGGAAGGTGTGGTGAATTTTGCAACCTTTTTCGGAAAGGGGGGAAGGTCTGGGGATCGAGGAAGGCCACTGAAGCAAATTTACTCCAGACGCTTCTAAAAAGTCTAAACTAACACGTGCGACATGAGGTGGCATCGTCCTGCTGAAAAAGTTGATCTTGCAATGTTCCCAAAAACGGAAGCAGATGTGGTTATAAAACTTCATGGATATTTATCATCAAATGAACACTAATCGTGACCTACTCCCGTAAGCAATGGCACTCCATACCGTAACACTCACAGTCGATGGAATATTGGACGTTCCGTCCGGTCCTCATTGTTATTGCCCTTTCGACAGCATCAAACCACTGGTGCCAAACTGGCATTGTGGAAAATCGATTTCTAAGTGCTAGTTGCCTCAAATAACGATCATGTCGCTCTGTAGTCTGTCTTTGACGTCCAGTACTTCTAACTCGTCGATTTCGGCCTTATTGGAACCACTTTCGAGAACATCTCAATACAGTAGCTTCGTGTCGATTCACCCGATTAGCGATTTATCTAAATGAAAATCCGGCTTCACATAACCCGAATTATCCGACTCTTAAACTTAAACTCGGAAAGTTGAGTAAAATTAGCGCATCTGAGAAAGTCTAGGCATAATAATGCAATGAAACAAATGCAACTAACACAGAAAAATCAATGAATATTAAGTAAACATGTCCATATTGTTCGGATCCTCATATGACAAAAAAATCCTTTACAAAAAAGTAGGGCTCGGAATGCTTCAAACATTTGATCAGCGTATACTTCTATGATAGCAAAAATGTTTATTAAAATTCAATAAATAATCCTGGGTGTTGCATTTTATATCTCACTTAGTATACATATACTTGTAATATCACGCCAGTATGATATGTTTGAAAATAAAATAACAAAGAAATCTGAAAATCAACTGCTCATTTGATTCATCGGAACAACTATTCGCAGCTCCCTTCAACACCTTCAAAGATATGCAAATAAAATTTCCGAAAATGACTATTCATTGGCAGAAATGACTCGTGAAGCTCCATAAGATATAAAAACTGTTTATCACGTCTATCTCTGAGCATAATGGAATGCTTCTATCCTCTGCTCATAGACGAACTTTTTTAAATACTCCGCTGCCGTCTATCGTTAAATTACACCCAAGAATTATCAGATTTGCTAGAGTTGTGTAAACTAATAGCTCTGCTGTGCCCCGTTAGGACTCGATTCGGTTTACTTTGCTACATTTTGGTGTCAAGTATGTCTTGAATCTCTTTTGTTTGAGTAACTTTCGATATGAAACAATGACTAACCTTCATCATTGGCCGCACTGGGGTTAGGCACTTGCGCAGCAGTTTTCTTCACCAGCTCCAATTCTCCCTCTAGACTAGCATCCAACAGCAAGGCCAGCGGGTCAAAACTAACTCTTCGCGCTAACGTTGTTTTCCCCGTTTGCTTCAAGTTACCCTTCTTACAACGACGCACTACGCCATCTACCGGTGGTCGTTCCTCCTTTTCGGAGGATTCCTCAATGGAGGATGCCTTGTCCGTTTCATCTCTTTCCGTCTGAAAGGCAAACAGTCGTCAACATTAATTATTAGGATCGGTCACAAGACAGGTATGGGATTGCTATAGTATTTCCGTCTAAATTGAAATTGCAAATATACTCTAGCCATTTGGATGTGGAAAAGAACTCCGACATAAGCGTCGCATCTTATACTGAGTGAATTTAGTATTTTAGAGTTTCTTTAAATGTGGGCATGTCCAAATTCTTGTGTCAAATAACCTTCAAGACGTCATTTGTATTTTTTATAATACATTTGCAATACTCGACGCAATGGACACCACTGATACTACGATTTCCTACGGTACAGGGAGCGTATAAACGTAGTAGGTTATACTAGTAATATAGCTTTCATTAGCACGACGACAGACGGCCAACCACGGATAGCTGTTTCGTCCTATTTGGCAGCTCCTCAGCATGGTCTAGACTTGATTTCAGGTAGGAGAACGGCGAACGAAAGCTAAGCAACTATCCTCTATCCAGAGTATAATATTTATCTATAGCACCAGAAGCGGCGGAATCTAGCGGGCACAGCGGTGCCAGCTGTTTTTACTCTCGCAGTGGTCGATTCTGGAAATAGATGGCATTTATTTCGATAGATCTTATACTTTGGATAGAACAGTCTTTTCGAATGATTAATTTGGATCAGCCCATTCCAATACCTCGTCCACCGCACTTTGCGTGAACCAGATTCCCAGAACACGACTGGGCCACCAGGGCAGTGTCATCACCTTAAATATAGAATTCATAGTTGCTGGGGTAAGGGACGTAATGTATGAAAAGCGAATAAAGGATTGGTCCAAGAACTGAACCCTGAGATACGCGGGATTTGATGTTTTGTCGACAGAACATTATTAATTCTGATCCGAAATGTCGTAACTTGAGCCAATTTTTTTGATAGCGCTGTTTTTATCTGTACTCTAAAAAGCTATAAGCTGATGGCGCTAATTAGGCCATTAGGGGTCACGTCCGTCATATCTAAAACATGTCAATTGCTGATCGAATGTTTATGTTAATAGACGTCAAAAGATGAAAAATAGGTTACCTTTCTATCAAATCTATTTTTTCACGTTTGACAGCGTTGTCCCCAACCACACAAGCGCCGCCTAGCGGGAACAAAACCGAACATCGCTGTCATTAGGATCAGAATTAAACGCTAGCGTCTGAAATATTTCTAAGTACTCACCTGCTTATTGTCTTGGTTCTCCGATGACTTTTCCGCACTGTTTTGTAACTCAGGATAGTTAAAAGTCTGAGGCACGTCCATCCTACCTCTGCTATTCCCTGATAGGCCGTTCAGTTTCGAATGAGAGCTGCTCGACCTCAACTTCGGTTGTTCGTTAAGTAGCTGCTTTTTAAGGGTCAACGGTTTCGCTTTGATGAACATCTCTGAGTTTGGTTGACTCGTTGGAGGTTGAAGGGGAAAGGTACCTGATTGAAAATGAATTGTTTAGAAACCACGGATGTATTTTTAGAAATGATTTGGCTGTGATATTTGAAAAGCTCACCTTGTTTTTGATTAGTAGCACTATTTTTTGATGCCGCTGCGTTTTTGTCGTCAGGTGGATCTGTCAAAGGAAGAGGCGGGGGAGCACATTCTTCACTCAAAATTTGTGTTTGCCTTGGGGGCGGCTTGATGGCAGGTTTTGGGGGTAGCGCTGGCTTTGGACTCTTCTCAGGGCCTAGAATAATATTGAAATAATAGTAGAGAGTAATAATAAATATAAATTCATTATTTATTTTTTCAACGTTTGACGGGCGCACTGTCAATTTGTCTAGTAAAACTTTGGGTCCGGCTGAAGCTTCTACTTTGATCCGGTGCCAGGTTATGATAAATCTGTACACACGAAAAGTTTTGCAAAAATATGACGTATTGGAGGAGTAAAAAATGCATGTGATATTGATCAACGAACTTAAGAATAAATTGAATGCAAAAAGAACGGCACAAGCCTAATTATTATGTTGATATAACGCTGGTACTTTGGTAGGCATTGATAGTCAAACGAGTTAAAAGTATGTACTAAAACTACGCAATTTTGGCGACAAATAATGCAATGTAAACATAGCGGCTTGGCGCTTTCTAAGATATATCCGAATTCGTTGGCTCAAACCGCTTATGTACTCGGAAATATTTTTTAGCTGCCAGTTAGTTCCAGTGTACATTGTTCATACATACAAATATTTTGTCACATGTTTACTATGTGGTAATGCTAACATATAATAATACTTTTTGGCATTAGCTTATTAGCTTTCGTCAAAAATATAATGTCTAGCTGTTTTTGTATTCCCATTTCAAGTGGTTTTTTATTATTATTATTTTATATATCTTCTTCTACAAAATATTGCAATGTTTTAGTTACCAGAACAGTACACGCATCAGTATAAAATGATGCTTACAGGAATAACAGGTGAAATACTTTAAATTGTAACATTTTCTAGATGCCAAACGCTCCTATAATTTAACTAACTTCACATCACATTTCCGAGATCACAATGTACATTTATTTTCATCAAATTAGTTTTTAAGTTCCTTTTGTTCCAACGTGAAAAAGTTTTTTTTAGCAAATAACACAGTTTTCGCCTCGTTGAAAAAAATTCTCATCTTCAGGGCGAGGTGTATTAAATTTTCACATAATTATCTCAAGTAGACAACGAAAATTGTGAGACGGTATCTGACAAAAAAAACTGCTTCCGTCATAAGATCAATTATTTTCTTACCTTCTGGTGATGTTACCCCACTAACGGGAGTGGTATTCAGTGGCGTGCTGGTGGACTGAGGAGGCGAAAGTGGTAGCCCTGCTTGGGGTGACTGCACGACGTTGGTCAATGCGACTGTTTTTGGTGCAGTAGCGGGGGGCAATGTTTGTGGTTCAACAGGTTGTACTTTGATAGAGGAGGTCTGGTAGACGGCTGAAGGCACGCCACTGTGCTGGATAGAGGTTGGTGCCACGCTGCTGATGGGTTTCTGGAAAGATATTACACTGATGTTAACAAATGTGCAAGTCAATGAGAAGGCCTGAGACGGAAAATTACTGCGATTGGAAACGTATAAATATACTAACGACAAAAGGTTAAGTGATACCCTCCCCAATCTTACAATCCATTAACATCCAAAAACATTATATTTGATTTGTAGAATATTCGACTGGAACGAGAAGTACACGTATTATACTTACATGATATGTGGTAGTTGCAGCACTCCCGCTGATAACTCCAGGATACGCATTTTCTCTATTTGTTTGGTCCTTGATTTCATTGCTGTTCTTTCTTGCCAGAAGATCGTGTTGGTTCAAAGGTGTAGCAATATTTTTATTCACCATGTTAAGGGGTGCGCTGTGAACTGTCATTTGCATTTGGTAGTTGGTACTGTTTGATATGTGCTGCTGTTGCTGATGTTGTTGTTGTTGCTGGTGCACTGCATTGAGATCTTCTTTGGCCACTTCGTTGTTGTTACACTGCTGCCAGGATAAACGAAAACTCTTGAGTTATTTATTAATCAAAAGATTTGGGCCACAACTAGTAGTTATAAAATTCTTTGCAAAAGAGTGAATAAGGTTCCTTGACACATGACTAGGCAGCTAGGCAGCTAGGCAGCCGTCAAGGTATTAGAGACGGCATAAATATCGGTCAAGCTAAGGGTTGGGAAGTAGAAACAAGCCATTCAGTCTATTGATATCGTTACGGAGCGCTAGTGATTTCGATCAAGAGGCGGGACTATACAGTTTTGTCCCGAAACAATTCAGTCGCTATCATGCGTTGGAACAATGAGGAGCCTGCTTTTGCGATTGAGGCCTACTTTTTGAACGGATGTTCTGTGACTGCAAACCAGCGCGCCTTTCAGAATCGCTTTAATATGGCCCCTGTCCCGGACTGGAAAGCAACTGTTACACGTAACGGGTCACTACGTTCAGACAAACTGCAAGTGCAACCAAACGAACAACTGGAGTTCCTCAGACTATCGGATCACCTGAGAACATTGAGGCAGTGAGAGCTTCACTGATGCGATCACCAAGGCGTTCTGGGCGGCAACATGCGTTTTTTTGAAAATCCGTGTATATGTGAACCGTCCAAGTGCCCTGCAAGATTTGAAGAAGAACATCCTGGAACAAACTTCCAAGAGATTTCCGAGTTCGGTTTACTCAGTGTAAGGACAATGGTGAACGTCACCTATCTGATTTGATCTCTGAAACTATGTAAAACAAAACTTTAGGAATGTGCCTACATTATACAGTTCATAAGAGAGAATCAAGAAAGGATATGGAATGGTGGTTCGACCACCTAGGTAAAAAGAATCATAAGAGAATGCCCCGCATTTTTAGATTCTACTACTACGTGCTGGTTCTGCAGAGAGAACGATTAAACTGTAACGAACCCCCCATATAACTGCCAATGCTAAGGTTCCAGATTTAGTAAAATAATCAAAGCTGGATATAGTACCTTAGATAGTGTATCTGTTGGCTACAATAGAACCATATGAATCGCAACGGTGCCAAAATCTTTTGTTTCCATCCTTTACTTAGCAGATTTCAATATTCTAATGAGATTTCGCAATATTTGACAGTTACTATAAACATGAAATCGGTGAATACTTACATTTTCGCCTTTGAGTCGACTGGTGACAAGATTGACAGTAAATTTCGTATTATAAGGTAAAGTTTGGTACTTGGGGTCATTTTTGGATACGGAGAAATTCTTGAGGGCATCACTTTCATCCGCTCTAGGCACATAAAGGTTTGCCATCTTCTTCGCAAGATCTTGGGCTTCATGGGCACTGTTTGAATTCGGATCGTCATGTTTGATATGGTGGTTGTTTTGCTGATACGAAGGGTGATATGTAGAATTCTGGAGAGAAAAAAATTCATTACATCAGTGCAGTTCAAAAATACCTACAGCAGAAAGTATACAAAATACGCAAAATTCCTGTAACAAGTGTTACGTTTTGAAATACGGATAATATAAGCAAGCATGATATTCTTACCTAATTATTTGTTTTACTAAAAAAGAATGACTCAAAGTGGCAATTGGGACAACCTTTACATATCAAAATAATACAGAAAGTTCCTATAATAATAATAGGTACTGAAATGTCTGAGTGCGAGTCTATGCTTAACAGTGAAGTCAACTAATTTATGCAACAAATGGTTGCTATGCGATTCGTTCGAATAGTTACTCACCTCATGACAGTTGAAATTCTTAACTTGATGGCTAGATTGTAAAGGAACATGATTGTATGGCTCAACGGCGGCAATGTTGCCACGTGATAGGCCGTTTGACTGGTTGTTTTGTTGTTGTTTCCTTGCAAATGCTTGATTGTTCTGCTCCGCATTTCCAGTTAATCTGCAAAAACAGTTGCAAATGAGAAAACATTGGACCAGGATTCAAGGAGTGATTCTTCGGGATATTAATATGCAAAGTGTCTTAATCTACAAATATATTTCAAATTCTCCTTAACGATCGCCGAAGTTGTTTCAAATACACCAAAGTCGCTTTTTACTACGATGAATCATTGATATTCTACCTTCCTCGTAAAACAATGGTTAAATATAGCAATTATTGTATTGTTCACTGGAGTCACGTAAGCAAATAACTATGGAAGATCACATACGATATAACCTAATAGGTTTCAATCAGAAGACATAAGTCAGATACTTCTTGATCTACCCAATGATCTATGTATATTAGTGTGGCCTTCCAGATAAGCTTTGCTCAGCAGACCGCAAGATATAAATCGTAATTGAAGCTGGAAAAATTATTCTTTTTCTTTAAGGCTAAGAAGTGCTGTTCTCCACATGATTTCCTCACTGTGTACAAGGCCCAGATAAGACATAGCCTCGAGTACGCTTACATTATCCTTGCTTGATACTGTCTAGAAGTTCGAGTGACCGATGACTCTTTTCTGACAAGCCTACCGCGTCGACGGGCAGTCGACGATCTAGTTCTCTTCTACCGCTATGTCAACGAGCTTTGCGCCTCAGAGGTCTCCTCCATGATGAAGCTCCGCGATGTGCCCGTCAGACAGACTCGCATGACTTTGGCTTCCTATCCTAACCGTGTCGAACTGGCCAAAACGACCGCTTTTATCCATAGGGTGTCGAGGGTATGGAACAATCTACCTGAGGAGGCTTATTCGGTAATTAAATTGAGCGATTGATTATTGCTGCACGTTCACTTTATTTGTAAATCTCGATTTGATGCCAATAATCCTCTGTCGAATCACCTCTATTAACCGACAGATAAGGTTCTTCACTGTTTGGGAAATTTGATGGTCCTGATAATGATTAATGTTGTATACACAGTAAGCGGAGAAATACAACATGTATAAAACGATATTTCGCCAAATTTCTATTTTGACGCGTATTTTGAAAACCAAGTGTTCGTTCGAGAATTGTTTAGTGTCAAAACAGTCAGAATTGTCCAAAGGGTCATCCCTTCATCATCCGGTTCTATAATTTTTTCCACTGCTTGAACAATAACTGAAATCGTATGTGCTCACAAATCTGGTGAAAGAGTTGGATGTTAATGCAAAAATTTATTAAAATAAGGAGAGAGCGAAAGCATCTGAATATTAGTGCACATTCACCATATTTGCAAAATCCCGACTTCATGCCAATAATCCTCTGTCAATCCACCTCTATTAAATCGACAGACGAGGGTCTTCAGTGTTTGTGCAATTTGATCATGATTAATGTTGTATACACAGAACGAGGAGATATGCATGTCATCACCAGATGGTGATATCGTTTTATTGCCACGACACATATGCCTAGTACATACGTCATACCGAAGCTCAGCTTTATCCTACTACATGGATAGTTCAACTGGTATCTCAATTGAGTATTCAGTATACATGACCATGTAGTCATTCAGAAAACAATGATAATATATTTAGGGTGAAAGGTATGTCAAAAAAATTACATAAAAGTTCTTATACACATAGTTCTTCTACTACATCCATTCATACCACAGTCACAAAGCCAACAAATCAAAAAAAAAAATACAATCCCTAGCCTAGAAATAAGGTGCTTTAAATTGACGGTATGGCTGGGGACAGAATAAGGATTTTCTTCAAATAACATTGTGATTATAAGATGGAACTGTTCCTCTAGTACACTAGGTATAATTTTCAATCTCACAATTCGCATAGCTGAACGTATTTTTATAGCAGAACGGATGTATATGTGTTTTATTTGGCTATTCAGTATATACAGAATGATTGAAAAACAGTGGAACTGTTTCTAGAGCCGAAAGTATGAACATAAGTAGTTCCTGTGCAAATAGATCCTAAAATGTCTTTCCAAAATACAGGTTGTTGTAAATGTCTAATCCCTTGTCGGTACTACTGGAGATAGTAACAAGGTGGTATAATGGTGATCCACTCATATACATTATAGAACTTTCAATGATTTTACCTTAAATATTCAACTAGTTTTCCCCAAAACTGGAAACATTCCTAAGACAGTTGTTTGCAATTACAATAGAGTCACTACAGTAGAAACAGTTACACGCAGTTCCTCCACGCCACTGATATAGATGGACAGACGTAAATTTTTGAAAGTATGTATATACATATATATATACTCGTATATATATATATATATCTATATAAATATATCTATATACATATACAACAAATAGAAAAATAAATGGCAAAAAGGAGGAAAGTGGATTCGAGCAGAAAATAAGATAGGTAACCCGAGCAATATGTATTTCTGCTTATTGGCTTCATCAGGCCCGAAATGAATGCACATATCGTCGATGATACAAGAAAACATCGTAACTCCGTTTCTAAGAATTTTAGAGGAAAGCGTAAAAACAAATTGATTTATGCATTATATTGTTTTAGGAATAATCGCATTATTGTGATAAATGCAATATTATAGTTTAGTTGAGCAGTTTCTGAATGATACTTAAAGAAAGCTGAAATTTAAAAAAAAATGGAAAATAGCTAAAATTAAGAGTTACGTGTTTTTCCTATTTTAAACGCAATATAAAGTGGAGTTACGTGGTTTTCTTGTGTTAACAACGATATGTCACTACAAAAGTAGATACAAATGCCCATACCTCCGGATACGGGTGTAACCTGAGAAAACAAAGATGGAGAGGGAAAAAATGACACACGGAGTCCACAACAAGAGCCAATCTACAAATTGTAGTATAAAATGGCTTGCAGACCTCGAATTTTCAAGGAGATCTAACCACAACCACGCGGCCGGTTATAGCGACTTGCTGTGATACTTCAAACTCAAAGGATCTACAAAGAGATGTTCGTTCCTTTTCTTCTTTTTGCGATATTTTCAACCACTCTGGGAGTTTTTTTTCGATTTTAAAAAATATAACTTCAACAACCTGGATGGATCCCATGTTGATAGGAACTATTCAAACTATTCATGTTACTTTTGGGGGCAACTGCTGCCGATGAATGAAGGATTATTGTCATTGTTATTGAAATCACAACACCCTGTAAATTTACATTTGTGCAATTGAACAGAGATTAAATATTCAAATCTATATGCATTAGTAGCTGGTAGAGCCAGGTGTATATTGGGTTGCTGATCCTAAGATTACGCTATGATTATCCCTATCGGGAATTGATTAATATAGCATATAGCTTGCTATCACAGCATACATACAAGATACATTTTGACATTTACATCCAATGATTTCCATTTATGCTTCGAAAATATTATTCACCTGTCTGTCAATAAAGCAATTACCGAATATGTAGAGACTTTAATGAGAAATGGATTAAATATAGACAATACTTTTGAATTGTTAGCTGAGTTCAGTGCATATTGATGATCTCACCATGGATACGTGAATTAATACAGCGTTTCTTCGAAAAAAAAAGCTGATTGACTTAATACCTTGCATGCCTATGTTACAGCTCCTGATATAATGTTTCGAATTTTCTACTTTGTTTAATTTCATTCATACACACCGGAAAAAAAAAGTTGTAGGTTGACTAGAGTACGATAAAGTATTAATCTCCATATCTTAAACAATATAAAATAAATCTGGCCATTCGGAGCCACATGTGTTGAAAAAAAATAATAATACTTTTAAGCAATGAAGATATTCACGTATAGGTTTTTAAGAGAATAAATCGCTTATAGCTCGAAGAGTTTAGAGAGATAACTAGGAGTGTTTTTTATTCAGAATGATCCAAAACAACTGAAAAAACCTTTGTCCGGAGTTAAAAACAGTTTCTTGTGATTTGTGTAAAATCGGCAATGTATGTTATTTGTAGCTTTAGAAAAAAGTTAAAGTAATATGTGGGGATTTCGTTTGTCAGCTACAACTACTTATTCCAAGCTAAGCAATTAGGGACTTCTACGCAATAGCTAATCTAATGAACATTTTTGAACATGTGTTGGGTTATCAGACGAAGCAGTGGTTCAGGATTATGTCTTTTAGGCTTACTTTGGACTATCCTCAGCAAAAACGATTATTAGTAACTTGTGTCTAAAGTTGAGCGTTTTAGGGTTATAACCGACTTAATGTCCTAACAAGACTGTAAATGAGTATTTCCAATGCTTAAAAACTCGATTAATTTTTTTAGCAACTACCAAGTGTCTAAATTTAAGTTCAAACCTTCCCATACAAAACCCCAATTTAAACTTAGCTTTTTTTAAGTAATTTTTAATCTTGCTTGGTGGGATGACGTGACGAACTTTTCTTTTTCTTAGACTGTACATGACATTTAACACCCAAAAAATATAATATCCCATGATTGAAAAATTTCGCAACTACAACCTCACGAGCTACAAAAATAATAAATTTTCAACCCCGAAATAGAGCGGTAGTTCCAGAATCAGTCTAAAAATTGCATTAAATAATTAATTTCTCTCACTTGCTGCATTTCGGAATTTTGTAGAGCACTAGCAAATCTCACCTAACTAATTGGTGGTAGGCAGCTTTGTGGGAGGCTGCGCTGATCTGACTAGCCAACTGCTGGTTAAGCAGCCTCTTCCGATGTAGCCGTTCCTGTAGCTCGGATATCCTCTTGTCTATCGCGGTCATCTCTTCTTGCCTCGCTGTCAGTGCCTCACGTTGTTGGTATAACCGTTGATTTTGCTGCTCGTTTAGTTTATTGCGATACTGTAACAAAAACCGAGTCAAGCACTTTTCATGAACGTGTATAAATCTACTCGACATTATAGCTACACGAGCAGATCAAGCGTTATTAGTGACAAGTCCAAAAATAATTTTTGGCTACTTTCTTATTACGCTTGAAAGCCGCCACATAGTTGAAAAACAGGAATTTCAATGTTTTTTTTAATTATAATCCTTCTGAGGAAATGTTTTGACTCCAAGAATAACTAGGATGTCGAAAAACACCCTAGAAGGGGTTTCTGGGAACTTCAAAAAAGTTTTTCGTTGTTAGCCCTTAACGCTGAGAGGTACGAAGTCAGTTAAATGAGGGCAGAGTTGCGCATTTGAGAAACTAAGAAAGTTGTGCTTAGAAAGTTTCGTAATTTGCGAGTATTTTCTCAAAATTGTATTTATTTCTTTCTAGAGTTATTTGAGATGAGATTTCAATTTAAAAAATACATTAACATTTTCATTTTTTCCTCCACATTAACATTTTCATTTTTTCCTCCATAAGGTGAAAATGTTATATACAGGGTGTTTCAGTTTATTGTTGCATAACTTTAAGATTCGATAGAACTTTTAAAATTAATGCATAAAGTCTATATAAACATGGGTCGAAAAATGCGTGGCTTCCGAAATACAGGGTGTTTAAATTTACTTTCTAAAATAGTTTTTTTTTAAATATTTCGAACAATATTTGATGTATAACAGTGAAAATTGGTATACAAGGGTTTTTGGTACGACAAAACGAACCATGGGCATAGTTTTACTGTAGCCGCTAGAGGGCGCTCTCTACTGTACCTGTAGTGTATTAAAATGACCGAAACATTTTTCTTGTACAATTTTTTGCTTTTTGAATAAAAAAACAGATTCTTCGCACTTTTCAACATAAAAAAGCTCTCCTGTGAGTTTTCGTTATAGTTAGCCGTTTTTGAGATATTTCGATTTTTAAGGTTCGATGCATTTTTAATTATTTATGGAAAATAACGTTAAAAAGTCAGTATCTCGATAATTTTTAGAAGTAGGCTGTGCCTGCAAGTATTTTTGAAATTGAAAGCAGAATAAGGTTAAACGTCAATTAGTTGACAGTTAGTTTTGTTGTCTGTTGAAACCTGAAACGTTTTTTTGCAATTGTGAATGCACGAAATTTAGTTTCTTTTACCTGTTTTTTTTTGTAAGTTTTATAAAAATGCTAATAGACAGAATCAGGAATGCATGTGATGAAATAAGGCCTTATTTGAATAATGCTATACCACGTTCGATCAGTCGTAGATGTGAATTGTGTATTGAGCAATTGGGTTTACATTTCGAGCAACTACTTTAGATTTTGTATGTTTGTCCTAACCATCCAATAGCATTTTGGTTGTAAATAATTAATTTAATTTGTTAAAAATAATATTGGAAAACTAAACAAATTAATATTCTGTTTTTTGTAATTATTTGGAGTTACAGCAATAATGCTGTGTTTAAAAACACAATCTAAACGATCATCTTAATTACTTGTAATGCCCAAATCGAAAATGTAAAAAAAAATATTATTTTCCCATAAATAATTAACAATGCATCGAACCTTAAAAATCGAAATATCTCAAAAACGGCTTACTATAACGAAAACTCACAGGAGAGCTTTTTTATGTTGAAAAGTGCGAAGAATCTGTTTTTTTATTCAAAAAGCAAAAAATTGTACAAGAAAAAATTTTCGGTCATTTTAATACACTACAGGTACAGTAGAGAGCGCCCTCTAGCGGCTACAGTAAAATTATGCCCATGGTTCGTTTTGTCGTACCAAAAAACCCTTGTATACCAATTTTCACTGTTATACATCAAATATTGTTCGAAATATTTAAAAAAAAACTATTTTAGAAAGTAAATTTAAACACCCTGTATTTCGGAAGCCACGCATTTTTCGACCCATGTTTATATAGACTTTATGCATTAATTTTAAAAGTTCTATCGAATCTTAAAGTTATGCAACAATAAACTGAAACACCCTGTATAATATACATTTTTGGAATCAAAATTAAACATTCCATTCACATGTGTAAAAATCTAGTATGACAACTATAAGATAAAGTTGATGATTGAGGACAAGGAACGTAATGTCATATTGAAATTCTAATTATGCCATCTTGTAGAGAAGAAAAACTATGTGTTGTATTGTGGAATCCCATCTCAAATAAAGCCAGGAAACAATAAAAACGATTTGGACTGAATTGCGAAGCTTTATATGCGCCATTTTCTCAGTTAACTAAATGCGCAACTTTGCCCCTGTTCAACTGACTTCGTATCTCCTACCGTTTACAAGATCTCAATAGTGAGAGTCGAACTAAAAATACCCGGTAAAGATAAGCCACACACCGGGGATGACTGTTTCATAATATATCTATATGTTATGAAACGACCAAAAAACACAGTATATCGATTTTTCGTGATTACAATAAATTTTCCTTGCCAAATCGTCGTGTGAAGTAAAACGATGAGGGCATTTGAATCTTGTAGTGTAGATAAGCAGAAGATGGCGAGAGTTATTTGTATATGCACATTTACCATTTTTTAAAACTCTAGTATACTCGTAAACAACCTGCGATTGGTCTGCTGAAACGTCTTTTGGTACTTTGGAGGCAGCAATCTATTCTGAGCCTCCATAATACGTGTTTTGGGGCCATCTTGAATCTTCTGGCACGACGCATATTGCGCCATGTGCGTGATTTTTGCCGCTGGAAGCTCCATATTATGAATTTGGGTAATTACCCACCCAGAAAAGACCACTGCATATTGTGGATAGTTGAAGTGAACTAACAAGTAATTTTGTATTCAATTCACTAAGTTGAATGGAGAGCGTTCCTAACTGGATGAGATGATAATCAGGAAGAAAAAATGCCGTTGGTGAATATATTATACAGTACATATTCATATAGTATTATTTATAACAATTGAACACGATTATGACGATGTGTACTCATGAAATGAGATATAGACCTACGTCAATTAATTGGCGATACAATGTTAGCCCGCAAAATATATCACATGTAACTTTGACAGCTGTCGTATTTTGCAAGAATATCCTGTAGTTGATTACTAGTAACTTTCTCTTAAACACCTGTTTTGTTTCTATAGCATCTACACTCGTGCAGTCTTTTACCAAAATTCATGTGTGTGTTTAAAATTGAAAAACAAAGTCGAACTTTTATTAGAAATCGGATATTTCGAGAGTGGTCTGGACCCCCAGGACACCTTCTCCAGGAACCCTCATTACTAGAGCATTCATCAATTTTGGGTTCAGATAAGAATTATCTTGATTTATCATCAATCGATCTAAGGTCTCCTATTTTAGTATTGGATGCAAAGGACTAAATGAAATTGAACTTCGATGGTGCCACGTTCGAAATAACTAATGAGCGTAGCGTCTAATATGAGTGAAATGGCTAACAGAAGTTTTATCTTTCAACACGACCATTTATCACTTAGAGGGCATAAGCTAATTCATTGCATAGCCCGGCAATTTTAGACACAAATCTCGAGAAAACAGTAACATAAGAATCATCTTCATGAAAATAGACAGTAACATAGACTATTAGAATCAGATAAAAAGTTGAGCAAACCGGGAAAAATTCGGAAATGCACAGAAAAAGTATTGGTCGTCTTTTTGTGTACACATGATTTTAATGTATGTCAGTCTGTTTTAATATAGATGTACTAAGGGATGCTGTCAGATAAAAACAGTAAACTAAATATCCGTAAATGGACAAAATTGCAAAAAATGCGAACTTTGACTTTTAAAAGAAGACTGAAGTACTAAAATAAAAAGAAAAATACTGACGGCGCTTTGAACTATACCTACGAGTATGTTCTGAAATATTTAAATGCAAACATTTCATAGGTGTAATTAACATAAAATTTAAGTTAGGGCAAAAAAGCGGTTATTGACCCTCACCCTTTACCTAGGTGTATATACAGGGTGCGGCAGCATAATTTTTTGAAATGCGCTCCATTCTGTCAGTTGATGTGGTAGTGGAACGCTAGTTATCTCGTTCGAGAGGTGGGACCATAAAGTTTTGTTCAGACACAATTCATTCGCTACCATGCGGAAGACCAGTGAGGAGCGGCTCTTGCCGTTGAGGCATACATTTCCAGCGGATGCTCTGTGTACGCAACCCAGCACGCTTTTGGAGATCGCTTTAATTTAGCCCTATTGACCCCCGTCCCGGACCGGAGACCAACGGTTACATGGGTCACTACGTTCAGATAAACTGCCAGTGCGACAATACGAAGAACTGCAGTTGCTCGGCCCATTAGATTACCTGAAAACAATGAGGCAGTGAGAGCTTCAAAGTTGTGTTCATCACGGCGTTCTATGTGGAAATATCCGTTTGCCCTTGGACTTTCCAATCGTTCTGTGACGAAAATGCTTCACGATGATCTTCATTTCTATTCACTACCAGATGGCAATTGTGCAGGAACTTCCTGAACCTGACTTCAATTCTCGGATGAACGCGTGTGAACGTCTTCTCGATGTCGTTCCTGAAGACGCTAGGTTTTTTTTTAGCGATGAAGCTCATTTTCATTTGTGTGTATCCGTCAACAAACAAAACATGCGCTACTGAGCTGACACCAATCATTGAGAATTGCATCAGAGGCCTTTGCACAGTGTGGTGTGCAATTTCTTCAGTTGGAATTATTGGTCGCTGGTTATTTGATGAAAACGAAGTCTTAGTGATTACATTCTGACCGGTAGGTAAACTTGTTACAGGTATCTTTGTCCATGGCTAGATGAGTTGAGCTAAGGGGAACCTTGAGTTCGATCTAGGAAACATATACCTAGAACAAGTTGGTGCAGCGGCACACATTTCAAGAGCATCGATGGCTGTTTTGAAGGAATAATTCCCAGGGTGCTTCATCTAAATTAAGGGGGTATTTGAACTGGCCGACCCGCTCTCCCGATTTGTCCTCTTGTGATTTTTTCTATGGGGTTTTTTTAAATTCCGTATTTATGTGAATCATCCAAGGACCCTACAAGATTTGAAGACCAACTATACAGGAAGAAATTGCCAGCATAGCGCCTGCTATGCTGACATGAGTCATGCCAAACGCCAGAAATCGGTTTACTCAGTGTATGGACATTTGGGAACATCACCTAGCTGATCTGACCTTCAAAACAATGTAAAACAAAAGCATTAAACATGCGCATATATTATAAAAAAACAAGTAAAAGTATTCTGATTCATACAAGGTGTTTGATTAAGTTTTTAAAAAATGAATTTATGCTGTCGCACTCTGTAGAATATAAGTTGAGCATCCAATGATATGTCACATTGAATAAGTAACGCTTAAACCAAAAAAATGGCGAACGGGGCCATTGCCTAACGTTGTAAGATCGGGATACGTTGTTTGGAAATGAGATTTTCATAGACTTTCTGGTAGTGACTGCTTTTTGAAGCCCAATACTCCTGTAACATTTGCTGTCGGTGAACCTTTTCTGGCTGGGAAACTAGTAATTTATCCGCGATGGCCGATAAATAACCTGATTTTTTTCGCGGGTATGAAAGCGTTAGCGCATATACAGAACAGCTGTGATTGATTACGCTACAGATAGTGCCGTTGATTTGGACTGATTACTCGGTACCGATGCCGGTTATAGCTTGTTTTATTCTCATCAGCAAATTGCTGGTTTCCGACTGCTCTGGTTCCCATCTCACGATGTTTCATTAAAATACAAATCACAATAAAATGATCTATGAAATTATGGATTAGGCGTATTAGTTCCCTTCACTTCACAACATACTTGCAGCTTTCCCTTGACCAAATAGTTAACAACACAGCTTATAAAGAGTGTTTTAATAGGCCTTCGAGATTTTCTAATTGCAGCTAACATTTTTGAAAATATCACTATTCATATTATCAGAATATAGATAAAACTATGTAAATCTAATCTACATACTTGGAGACCAAGCAGTGACAATAGTGGCCAGCCAGATTGATGTAGGCATTATCCTGGTATGAATATACACAGTAAAGGCCAAACGACTTTTGTATCTCATTAATATGTAAGAACCAAGACCGATCACTGGGGAACACCCGCGCTGACAATGTGGGATGAAAAGGAGAAGCTGTGAATTATGGTGACCAGAGAGGAAGTCAGCCACCCATGAGTGCAAAGCTTGTTTGATGAGTTTACTCCATAGTTGCGTGACGTAAGCTAGGAAACTATTCTGCCGGTCGCTAATTGAGCCGTTACGTTCGAGGTATTCCAGAAGCTCCAGATTTATGCATCTGTCCAACACAATATCACCACCTTTATGGAGAGTCGCTATAAAGGGAATGTTATAGTCATCTTCAGGATACTCAGTGAGCTTTTTGTGGTGGTCATCACCTTGGCTCGGCTAAACAGCGCTACGTGGACACAATTTAACCGAAGAATGAGAGCGACGCAAGACCACTGCGAGACAAATTTTAGTGATCAGAGAGTTTGATTCATGGAATTGACTACCTTCAAATACAGTGGATTCTACATCGGTGAGTGCTTTTAAAAAAGTTAGGCTACAGCCATTATGATGACTTACCATAAGTTCTCTTCGAAGCTTATCAAGCTCTAAAGCGGAAGCGGGGGGTGGTTCTCTGTCATTTCGGCCTCTTCGTAATTCCTCTAGCTGCCTAGTCAACTCTTCTACCTTTGCTACGGCCAACGATAACTCTTTCTCCTTCTCATTGAACAATGCTCGTATCGAATCCAAGTCACTTGCTGCAAATAAAGGAATGGTGTCAACTTAGTAGTTTCCAGGCAATTCATATACGTTTGTTTTTAAATTTTCTATAGATACCTAAAAAATTAAGATCCTCCTTGAGCAACATTGATGACTCAGCCCTGCAAGTAAAAAATCAGGGCCACTGAATTCTAAAATGTTTGAGCTTGTTGACTTTTATACACCCTGAAGTGATCACATACTTAAAAAATGCCGAAAAACGTAGTTTGTAAAATGTACAAAAATTTGATCCATCTAAAATTCTTTTCTTAATGCCCAATAAGCATCTGAACGATTTAAGGGAAAAACCAACTATGAAAAACACCTGAAAATTGTATTTTTGCTCAGAATTCCACTCCCACCGCACAGTTTTAAAAATATTGTATTATCAAAATCGGTGAAGTTCAATAAATTACGAGGAATGGAAAATCCTATAGATAGACAGCCGGTCAATAACGATAATTCCTAGTCACATTGGGCAATGTTGATAAGCAAAATACAAAAGCGCTGTTAACATCGTTGGCATATGAATGACTTTATGCCCGTCAAACAGCGGCAGATGATGATAAAGTGAAATCTTAATTTATTGTTCAAACCAGCACGAAATCTTATGGAAAGCGCCCCTGATAAACGGAAAACGTTAGTGTCATTTTAGAAACTCAACGCGATGTTAAAAACCGTGTGCAAACGTTGAGGAATACAAGAACCAGAGGTTGAAAGAAAATAATCTTGAATGTCAACTGCAGCATTCTGGTTTTAATAATGTTTGTGTTTATCCTGGTCGTTTTTAAAGGTTTCTTCGTTATCGTAATAAACTTAACTCATTTGCCCTTATGATAAAATTTCACATAGCTTGTTGGTCATTAATGTCATTGTACTCGTATATAACATACATATCACATAAATATCCGAAATTCGTAAATTTGCATGGAAAATTATAGCATACTTTATAACAATTCAACAAATAAATCACGTCTTTTGCTAAAATAGCCGACATGAGATATGGGGGTCATGATCGTGAGAGGGTTTTAAAGAAAGTAACTTGGAAAAAGTTCTGCAACCTGTTATCAGATATGAACTCCGATGCGTCACTAACAGTGCGAAGGGATTCAGGAATGTTAGAAGTTTGTGAGCAACTTCGTAAGACCTCTATTAATCCTTGGAAATTCATTCGATTGGCCCGTTACTTTACTTTACTTTACTTTCTGATTTCGGCATTGATCTATCATACTAGTATCTATAGGATGATCGTTAGAAAAACAGCGTGCAATAAGCCTGTTACACAAAAAATAATTTTTACGAAGTTCTGTGCTCCAAGGGGTGATATGCAAACATGGTATCAAAATATCTTAAGCAATGCATCCACAGATACGTACTGTACCCATCAGACTCTTCCCATCAAACCGATCAATTATTTATGGCAGGAGTCCATATAACGTCACTGTCACGCTTCGGCATAATTGACATTTCAAATGTAAGCGTCCACAGATCTGTATCAACCCATTAGACTCTCCTCACTAACCACCAATTCATTTTTTTGGAGAGAACGTAATACAAGCCAATTCACTAATGGGCATTATACATATGGTACGAAAGGGGAACTATTTCTACAGGGTTTGTCCGGAAAGTAATAGGACTGAGTCGATTTAAAAAAATGTATTGGGCCAATCGTTACAATTCTTTAAAAACTTTCAAAATCGGCTCCTTCTGCGTCAATGCAGCGCTGCCAGCGCGATTTCCAAGCATTGAAGGCGTCACGGAAGGCATTCTCCGGAATAGCCTTGAGAGCCGTGGTGCATGCTGATTGGATCCCCTCTGTCGTCTCAAAATGCTTGCCTTTCATCGGCCTTTTCAGGCGAGGAAACAAAAAAAAGTCCGGGAGGCCATATCTGGGCTGTAGGGCGGCTGCGGAAGCGTTGGGATGCCGGCCTTGGTCAGGTAGCTGTTCACAAGAAAGGCGATGTGAGCCGGGGCGTTGTCTTGGTGCAACTTCCAGTCGGCTGCGATGTCTTGTCGGACCCGACTGACCCTTCGTTTGAGTCTCCTGAGCACTTCCACGTAAAACTTGGCGTTGACGGTTTGTCCAGGAGGAACAATTTCATGGTGGACGATGCATTTGATGTCAAAAAAGACAATGAGCATCGTTTTACCTTTGGATTTGCTCATTCTTCCCTTTTTTGGGCGAGGAGACGCCGTCGTGTGCCACTCGGAAGATTGCCTCTTTGTCTCTTGATCATACTCAAAGATCCACGACTCGTCACCTGTGATTACGTTATTAAAAAATTGGGGGTCACTTTCACACATGTTCAAATTTTCTTGGCACACTTCCACTCGCCGCAATTTCTGGTCGTCAGTGAGCACTTTTGGGACCATCTTCGCGCACACCTTGCGCATGTTCAAATGCAGTGTCACAATTTCATGAACCACAGATTTTGGTAAATTTAACATCTGGGCAATTAAACAAATACTTAGTCGACGGTCTGAGTTTAAAACTTTGCGCACACGAGTCACATTATCGGTGTTTGTTGAAGTCGAAGGTCTTCCAGCACGGTCTTCATCAGCGACATCTTCCGGGACCTCCAAAAAGGCCTGGTGCCACCGAAACACACCACTTCTTGCTGAAGCAACACCTGGGCAAGCCTGCTTGATTATATCAAACGTCTCTGTCGCAGGTTTACCGAGTTTCACACAGAATCGCGTACCTCTGCTCTAACGAACGCTGCATTTTCGGCTTGCACCACTCACAAAAACGCGTCGCGCGAAAATGCCTGTCCTGACTCTCCAAGTGCTCGCAGACAACTTACCAGCCGTTCATTCGTTAGCTAGGAACGCCCTCCACCGAATCCAGCCGGTGCGCGCACGCTCCGAAGTACAGTCATGGCGGAAGAAAATGAGTCCTATTATTTTCCGGACAAACCCTGTATGTGTCGATCACATACGAATCGCCAATCAGTGGGTGCAGCACCGCCGACGGCACTCACTCCGAGGAACTGTATTTTGTTAGTTAGCTATGCTATACATCTGGGCATAATTGATATGTTAGGTGCCAACAAAACCCGTATTACGTATCTTAAAAAGTAATACTATAGCCCTGTTCGAAAACCGGTCAGTGATCGTGTCTAAGATGATGTCACACAAATTCCGTACATCCTGCTACACTATTTAGACGGAATTTACAAGCCCGGATCCCAGGCACAGTCACCGACAAGTGACCGACCACTGTCGAACTAACTATATAGTGATTTTTTTGACATTGTTTTTTTTATATTATGTACATACATAGGTTTCCCTATAAAATGTGACCTTAGAACTAGCTGGCATTAACTTCATGCTCATTTATAGGCGCGGAATGAACTAGCCGCTACCTATTGAACAAGTTGACATTTTACAGATTTTGCAACATTATATAGACTTTTTACGTAATAACCCCACCGATGTGTATGATGCAAACCTATGGACCTCTACTTTGATACAGTTCCTACCGAGATGTCAATTAGTAAAAACGAGGGAGTAGAATAATCAACAGAATATAATTACTATTCGAGACTATTACTGAGACTTTTGGCATTTATCAAATATTAGCTTTTTGAAACGCGGAACGTGTAGGTGGTACTACTGATAAAGTAACCAAATCTCCCAAGGAGTTGTCCAATAGTTAGTTGTCAATTAATTAATGCAATTAACGATACAAAACATGATCGGAAGTTTATAGCATCATCAAAAACAATGTTATATGTTTGTAACAGTTTCAAGACTACAAAGTCGCGGGTAAAAGTGTTTTTGACGGTCACTGGTTGAGTGATGCGATGGCAGTCCTCCATGTTGCCGCTTTGACACTGACGGTGGAGATTTTAATACTTGCTGCGACAGTTGATTTCAAAATCGTCGATGGGTTTCCCGATAGAACCATGCATATAACTTTTTTAGGTTTTTTTGTACTGTGGTTCAGAAGTAATGCATGCTGACAGACTGGAGGGAAATTCACATTTATAGGTGTATATAGAGAGGAAGAAATTTGTGAATGCATATATTTTTAGCAAAACGGTGTATTTCATTATAATATTAACTTCGCCTTCAGATATTAGACTGAGTCCTGCACTTTTTTTTCTACCACGAAAACGTTAGAAAGCACAATTGCTTGAAAAGAAATAGAACCCAATTTGTATTAGTAATTATACTCCCTCGTTTCCAACAGAATAAATTACGAAGACGTTCCCCGTGTTCCAAATTGATTTTACCATAGTCTCCCCTATGAAAACGCCCAGTATACAATAAGTCTTAGTAGATTCCTTTTATTTTTGAGTTGCAACTTGCAATTTTTGATACGTGGCTTCTACTCCCGCTTAGAAACAATTCGCTAGGAAACTAAAAACTATTGTATTTGTAACTCTATCTTGAATTTCGTTTCACCTACGTCGCTCTTCCCCGTTAGAAAACATGGCAGGCCCACGCAACGAGGTCAGAAGTTTAAAATTTGATGCTGCTCGAACATAAACGGTATTAAAATTTAACCACTTTTGTAACTTGACACGAGCTGCTATATGCATCACTTCGTGGATTTATACTATAAAACGGAGCCGCGGGAAATCCGAGGGAGCATTATAACTCTGTCACTTAAATTATATATCCTTGGATACTTTTTTATAAATTGAGCTCTTATAGTCCCAGTGAGCATCACGAGTCCAAATCTTCTAATATGAACTCAGCCGAACATTTGACGGATTATCAATACTGTCATGTATGTAATTTATTATACTAATATATCATAAACTAGAAAAATTTTACCTATCCCATTTCCAAAAGATGATACTTAATTCTATAGCCAACTATTATTTAAAAACTATACAGGGAAAGCCAAATTTGTCTTTACGGCTTGAGTTCAATATGAACGATAGAGAAACGCGAGAAGTGTGCATCAACACATGTTAGAAAAAGATAGAAGCCGGCTGACCACATTGCCTAACAACGGTGAGGCAGAAGGTCGTGCAATCTGTCGTGT